GTGATGCCATCCAACCATCTCATCCTCTGTCATCCCCTTCTCCTCCCGCCTTCAACCTTTCCCAGCATCAAGCTCTTTTCCAATGAGTCAGTTCTTCACATCAGGTGGCCAAAGTATTGGAGTTTCAGCTTCAGCATCAGTCCTTCCAATGAATATTCAGGACTGATTTCCTTTAGGAATGACTGATTGGATCTCCTTGCAGTTCAAGGGACTCTCAAGAGCCTTTTCCAATACCACAGTTGCATAGCTACTATGCACCCATTTAAAATAAATGACTGGCTGAGAAGTAATATGACATATACCCTTACTCTCACATAACTTTCCTGGATAATCTAAATTAGAGGTTACAAAGAGTAAATAACTAATCCTTGAAATTTTGAGAAATCTGATAAGAATCAGCGTGATTGTTAATGACAAACAAAGGAAAATGAGTAGGAATTTAAAAATAATTTGAAATTCTTGTTTTTTAATTAATTTTATCTATCCCATGTGTGATATTAGTACTAACTGTACTATGATCATGACTGGACTATTTCAGTTATGAAGCCCTAGGATGACCAAGATGTTCCAAGTATACTGATGAACTCCATTGCATTAGAATAAAAATTGACCTTAATGTACTAATAGCGTAATCTGAAACTGCATTTCCTATATTGTGATTTTGTGTGTTTGTGCTTAGTTGCTCAGCTGCATTTGATTCTTTGCGACCCCATGGACTGTATGTAGCCCACTGGGCTCCTCTGTCCATGGGGATTCTCCAGGCAAGAATACTGGAGTGGATTGCCATGCCCTCTTCACTGTGATTTTAGTAGATATTGTAAAAAATTTCAGTGGCCAAATTAGTTTGGGAAACACAGATCAAAAATATTTATTTCAAGAATATGATGAGCTATGACAATAACAAACATTTGTTGACTGCCAAACATAGAGTTAAATGTTACACTTGAATTAGCTCACTTAATTTAACCTTCTATAAAAATGAAGACTAATTATGGCTAAGAACTCTCAATTAAACATAACTGCAAGAAAGGAAAATTATATTCAAGGATACATAAATAGGAAAATCTATTATATAAGTCATTAGCCATAATCAAAGCATTATTCACGCTAGACAAAAAAGATGTCACCAAGATTATATTAATTTATTGAATTAGTAACTAAAAATGTTTTTAAAAAACAATTATCTAAGTTTTTTTGGTATGCATAATACAGGGATTCACTAAGCTAAATTTTTTTTCATCTATAAGTTCAGTATTATGAAGACACAAATTAAATATATCTCAAAAGAAAATAATTTCCACTGTAAATAGCACTCGAATTTTCCCTTGACTATTTAGAAACAGATTGCAATTTGCTCTTGAAAGTTAAATAAAATCAAATTAAAATACTTAGCAATTATACTAATGCTATTGTAGTAAAATGGTATTTTATTCATTGAATGGGAATTACTAAATCAATGGTATGAATTTTGTACAAGATCATTTAATTAATTAGAAGCACTTTCATTACAAATAATTGTATAGCATGTAGAACTTAGGATGCAAAGTACCTGTACAAATGTGATTATTAGAATAATCTAATTTCATTCATTAAGAATTTAGTGTCTGGTTGCAAAGGGGTTCATCAGTCACTTATGTTCTTCTAGCTACCAGGATAATGTTCAGTAAATTAATAAGATAACTGGGTCCTAATAAAAAGTTGGAGCATACTTACGTCAGTGTGAATCAGTTAAAACCTCCAAAAATGCTATTATCCAGTTGGTCCCTTGGACCTTATTGTATGGCACTTCACTTATGTGATTGTATAGTTAATAGAGGCATATTTTTTCTCAAATTCCAAAATTTAAAGTGGTAGACATGGTAGGTATTATCAACATTTTCTAGTCCAGTCCTTTACATTATAGGTAAGCAAGCTGTGATGCCAGAGATTGACTTACCCAATATAGGAAATTGGTAGTAGAAACATTCTGTAAAGAAGAGGGCACAAATCTCATCCATCCACCCATCAATCCTTCATTTCATGTATTCATTCATTCAACAAGTATTTACTAAATGCCTATTATGTTCTAGACCTTAGGGATATGGTGGTGATCAAAACTAGACATGGTCCCTGGCCTTACATGACTCTTTTGAGAACACAGTGGGAGGTAACGAAATGTGAAAAAAATAATCACTCAAATGCATACACGATAACAAACCAAGACAAATGTTCTTTGAAAAGGGAACCTGGCCTATGGTACTGTATAACAAGGGAGCCAGACCTAAACCAGGGGGTCAGGAAGGGCTTGCTGGAGGAAGTGGCTCTTATGTTAAGCACAAAAGGCTGAAAATAAGTTATAAGGAGAAGGGAGAGGGTGAAAAGAGATGCAAAGCCTCTAGAGAAAGAAGTATTTGAGGAACAGAAAGTCCAGCATGTTTAGAATCTAGAAGTAGTGAGAGAAGGGTAAGAAAGGGCTGGAGAGATAGATCATCCCAGATCAGCTAGGGCCTATCATCGAGACTAATGGTTTTGTTCTTTATCTTGAGAGTCTTAGAAAGTTGTGGAAGAGTTTAGTAGGAAGATAAAGTTAAAGCTCATCTTTGACCGTTTTATTTTTATATGAGCAAATACCAGATTCGTATATCCTATTCAGGGTGTTCTACCAGGATAATGTTCAGTAAATTAATAAGATAACTGGGTCCTAATAAAAAGTTGGAGCATACTTACGTCAGTGTGAATCAGTTAAAACCTCCAAAAATGCTATTATCCAGTTGGTCCCTTGGACCTTATTGTATGGCACTTCACTTATGTGATTGTATAGTTAATAGAGGCATATTTTTTCTCAAATTCCAAAATTTAAAGTGGTAGACATGGTAGGTATTATCAACATTTTCTAGTCCAGTCCTTTACATTATAGGTAAGCAAGCTGTGATGCCAGAGATTGACTTACCCAATATAGGAAATTGGTAGTAGAAACATTCTGTAAAGAAGAGGGCACAAATCTCATCCATCCACCCATCAATCCTTCATTTCATGTATTCATTCATTCAACAAGTATTTACTAAATGCCTATTATGTTCTAGACCTTAGGGATATGGTGGTGATCAAAACTAGACATGGTCCCTGGCCTTACATGACTCTTTTGAGAACACAGTGGGAGGTAACGAAATGTGAAAAAAATAATCACTCAAATGCATACACGATAACAAACCAAGACAAATGTTCTTTGAAAAGGGAACCTGGCCTATGGTACTGTATAACAAGGGAGCCAGACCTAAACCAGGGGGTCAGGAAGGGCTTGCTGGAGGAAGTGGCTCTTATGTTAAGCACAAAAGGCTGAAAATAAGTTATAAGGAGAAGGGAGAGGGTGAAAAGAGATGCAAAGCCTCTAGAGAAAGAAGTATTTGAGGAACAGAAAGTCCAGCATGTTTAGAATCTAGAAGTAGTGAGAGAAGGGTAAGAAAGGGCTGGAGAGATAGATCATCCCAGATCAGCTAGGGCCTATCATCGAGACTAATGGTTTTGTTCTTTATCTTGAGAGTCTTAGAAAGTTGTGGAAGAGTTTAGTAGGAAGATAAAGTTAAAGCTCATCTTTGACCGTTTTATTTTTATATGAGCAAATACCAGATTCGTATATCCTATTCAGGGTGTAGGACACTTTCCTGTTTTGTTTCATATAAGTAATGGTCTGGAGAAGGGGTAAGGTAGGAGAAATGGAGAACAGGAATATGGATGTGAAGAAGGATTGGAAGTTGGTCACCATAGTTTCTCGTATAGCAGACCATTGCCAGGCTCTACAACGAATCTGGTCTGAGAATGGAAATCACATTTGAAACACATAATTGTCTTGGAGGGTTCAAATACACCTGAGTTTTGTTTGTGGTTTGTGAACTACTTTAGGTTAGTTTTTACATGGAAAACCTCTACTCTTGGAATTTCCAAAGTCAATTGTATAGATGATGTGATTTTCCTTTCTTCTGGTCTACTTTGTCTTTATAAAAATCCCTACCTTGGATAAGAAATTGTCTGCGTTCATTAATGTCTCTCTTGAGATGTCTGAAGGTAAGGATTCTGGTTGATATTACCTGACCAATTGGGATGCTAAAATATTTCATTTATAAGTTGATAGAAATTTAAGCCAAGCATGTGTGCGGAACTGCAAAGAACTGCTTAAAAGTCTGAGTTTTTAGACAAATGTACATGGGCTTCCCCTGTGGCTCAGTGGTGAAAAATCCACCAGGAGCTGCAGGAGATGTGGAGCCAATCCCTGGGTTGAGAAGATACGCTGGAGGAGGAAATGCAACCCTACCCAGTATTTTTGCTTGGAGAACTCCATGACAGAGGAGCCTGGTTGGCTACAGTCCATGGGGTCTCCAAAGAGTGGGACATGACTGAAGCAACTAAGCATGCACGGTCTGCAAGCTCAGTTTTGTAAGACCTTGAGTTGTTGGAGTCTCATCTCATCTTCCTTCTTAAAAATCTCTGAAAGTTCTTCACTGCCTGAAGAATAACGTCCCTGCTGCTCAGCGTGGTCTCCTTCACACGTCTCGAGTTTTTCCCACAACGTGTTCCTTTTGGGCATCAAGCTACTTCTCTAAGCCTCATTAGCCTCTCTACAAAAAAGGAAATAATACTCATAGTCATTAGGACAAGAGTTAATGGGGCTGGTGGTAAAGAATCTGTGTGCCAGTGCAGGATACATGAGATGTGGGTTCAATCCCCGGGTCAGGAAGATCCCCTGAAGGAAGAAATGGCAACCTACTCCAGCATTCTTGTCAGGAGAATCCCATGGACAGAGAAGCCTAGTGGGCTACAGTCCATAGGGTCACAAAGAGTGGGACACAATTGAGCATCTGAGCACGTACACAAAAAAACAAGGGTTTAGCAATGGCAGATCTTTTCTTTATATGGTATCTGAGAGATATCTGAGTTATTCATCTTCTTTGAAGTAATGATGTGTTTCCTCCTTTCCCATAGTTCACAACTCTGAAGAGAGTAGAACACGAGCACTCACACTGAAGGATATTTTAAATGGGACATTTTCTTATAAAACATTTTTTCCATATTGGATTTCAGGTAAGTGAATTGTTTTTTGCATTTTTTTTAAATGTGTGATTTTAGTGTTTTTAGTGTCAGCACATCTCTATTGTAACATAAGCCACCTTAGTTGAAACGGATTAAAAGAGCAATTATTTAGATAAGTCAAGTGGCCACCAAAGCATTTTTGACAGAACTACTTGGACAGGATTTGCTCAATAATAATGATGCCAGTAGTAGTTTTAGCAGAACAGTAAAATCTGAGAATGCATTGTTAGAATAAGCTGAGCATAGGCTATAGCTTTTCAGAACAGGAAACAAGCACCTATTTAAAAGAGGTCATGAGAATTTTACAAAGAGAAATTCCATTGTTAATCTAGATAATCTAAGAAATGAACAAATCCTACCCTGAACACAAATCCTTTAAGGGCCATAAAATTGATATTTGCATATAGGTTTTCAAAATAGTGAGTTGTTAAATGAGTCTAATCAAACAAATGGTAAAAGAAACTAAATTGCATACATTATAATTTATATCTAAAATGCCACTAAAAATTGAATATTTTTGTTTTCTCTTTAGAAAATAACATGCATATAAATAGGTTTTAAACTAAGTCAAAAACAGCCTAAATGGAATCCATGTGTGTATATATATATTTTTTATATATATATTTTTGCAAGAGACATGTTCTTTTTACTCTTTTTTTTTCTTTTTGTAGCGGAGAGAATCTCCATTTTTTTTTCTTCTCGCTGTGCTGTTGTAATCTTTTCTTGTGACATATAGCGTTTTTTTGTATAGTGTAGGGGAGCGTCTTTTTTTCTCTTTTCCCCTCTCCTTTTTTTTTTTTTTTTCCACTTTTTTTTAATTTTGCCAAGGCATTTTTTCTTGGCCGGAAGGGGGAAAAAAAGTCTGTCTATAAAATAAGGGAGGTGTTTCTTTGTTATAAATGTATTTCTTGCTAAGGGAGATCATTTCAAGTTTTGTTTTCCTTCTTGTTTAAAGGACAAGAATATCTTCATCAATCTACAGATAATAATGTAGTATTTTATAATATTGAAACAGGAGAATCATATACCATTTTGAGTAATACCACCATGGTATGTATCCACCATCATCTTCCTCCACAAAAACCTCTGCCAGCTCTTCACTGACCAAGGAATAGAGTCAAACTCGGAGCCCCTGATCTGGACCCAACTTGCCTTCTCAGCTGTCTCCCATCATAGTTATCCTCCGATTCTCTCTTCTAGTCACATTAGGTTACTATCCTTGCCTCCTCAATTACTAGTGTTTTTCTTCCTCTGTGGAACTGGCATCCCATGAGATAAGAGGTACAAACTCAGTTCTTCTGGCCAGGCAAACTGAGTTCAGATCTTTGCTCTCATTTACTAATTATGGGGCTGTGCATGAGGTTCCACATTCTACCATTCTCATTGTGCCTCAGATTCTTCTGTAGAGTAGGAATAATAAAATACCACTTTGGGTTAGTATAAGAATTAAATACAATAACATTTGAAAGTGCTCAGAACAGTGCTCAGTAAATGCTCAGTGACTAGTCCTGTGGTACATACACACATGTTGTTCTGGCCTAGGCCCTTGGACCTCCTACTTTCTCTACCCTCAATAGTCTAGCAAGCTTTTAGAGTCAAGCTTGGCTGATATTTCTCTGTGCAACAAATGATCCTCTCATTTGCATTTAATCACTTCTTCCTAAAAATTTTTGCAGTGCTGTTATTTACCTCTCTCTTATATAACTGTCTAAATTATAATGTTATTTGTTTACAAGTTTAATATTATAAGCCTCTTGAAATCACAAAGTGTATCTTATTTATCATACTGTCATCCCTTAAAGTGTAGTAAATTTCTTTGTATATGGTAGGTATTACCTAAACTTTTAAAGAATTACTTTTAATATATATATGGGAGTATATCAATGATATGATATTCTCTTAGAACTATAAATGTATATGTCCCTGTTATTTTTTCTGTTTTCTAATCAACTTCTTCATGATTTCAGAAAAGTGTGAATGCTTCAAATTATGGTTTATCACCTGATCGGCAATTTGCGTATCTAGAAAGTGATTATTCAAAGGTATTGACGATTTAATTTGGGTTTGTCTGATTGTATCTCCTATTAACCCACAGACTGGTTTATAAAAGAGGAAACAGTTTCTTTATCTCTAAATATTTGAGAAATTAATGCAATTCTAGTTCAATCCCCAAAGCATAACAGTAACATACAAATAATTCAGAATTTGGCATTCTTGTCTGGCTATCATAAAATATTAAAAATTACTTTCATCCTGAGGGAAAAACTTACTTTGGGGGCACTGATATTCATCATAAAAATGCTATTTGGCATCATAAATCATTAGTTAATTCTCACAAATTTTAAACTTTTTAATATTTATTATTATTTAAAATGGAACTATCACAATGTAGCTTATTTAACTCACTTGCTCAAGCACAATAATATATAGTTAGTGGCTAGACAATGGTTTAATCTGTGTCTTTGAAAGCCTAGTGTAGTATAGCAGTATCCATTGCTGGACTGTTTAGCCTTACTTAATTTCCCCTTCCTGAATGAGGCTATGAGGGAAGATAATCACCTTATTTTTTTCTACTTATACTAGCAAAAGAATTTATATCAAATTCAGCTTCTAATAATTACTTTCAGATCAAGAACCTTTTGTTTTAACTGCCATTTTTCATATTTAGTTGAGATGCAAAACTCCCTCAATGCAGAGAATGAAAAGTCAAGCTTGCCCCTCCCCATTGTTCAGACAGCTGATTATTTTCCAGTGGACCGGTCTTGGTCACTTGCAATCTTCAGAAGGACATGTTTCAACATGCTGGAGTTTCTTTGCCAAAAGTTTGAAAACCCTTTAAGAAATAGAATGCAAAATAATACTTGATTTCTTTACTTAACTATAGTACAGATGCATGTCAGGAAGCAACAGTTAGAACTGGACATGGAACAACAGACTGGTTTCAAATAGGGAAAGGAGTACATCAAGGCTGTATATTGTCACCCTGCTTATTTAACTTATATGCAGAGTACATCATGAGAAACGGTGGGCTGGAGGAAGCACAAGCTGGAATCAAGATTGCCGGGAGAAATATCAATAACCTCAGATATGCAGATGACACCACCCTTATGGCAGAAAGTGAAGAAGAACTAAAGAGCCTCTTGATGAAAGTGAAAGAGGAGAGTGAAAAAGTTGGCTTAAAACTCAATATTCAGAAAACTAAACTCATAGCATCTGGTCCCATCACTTCATGGCAAATAGGTGGGGAAACAATGGAAACAATGATAGACTTTATTTTCATGGACTCCAGAATCACTGCAGATGGTAACTGCAGCCATGAAATTAAAAGATGTTTGCTCCTTGGAAGAAAAGTTATGACCAACCTAGACAGCATATTAAAAAGCAGAGACATTATTTTGCCAACAGAGGTCCATCTAGTCAAGGCTATGGTTTTTCCAGTGGTCATGTAAGGAGGTGAGAGTTGAACCATAAAGAAAGCTGAGTGCCAAAGAATTGATGCTTTTGCTGTGATGTTGGAGAAGACTCTTGAGAGTCCCTTGGACTGCAAGGAGATCCAACCAGATCATCCTAAAGGAAATCAGCCCTGAATATTCATAGGAAAGACTGATGCTGAAGCTGAAACTCCAATACTTTGGCCACCTGATGTGAAGAACTGACTCATTTGAAAGGACCCTGATGCTGGGAGAGATTGAAGGCGGGAGGAGAAGGGGATGACAGAGGATGAGATGGTTGGATGGCATCACTGATTCAATGGACATGAGTTTGAGTAGACTCCGGGAGTTGGTGGTAGCCAGGGAGGCCTGGCGTGCTGCAGTCGATGGGGTCACAAAGAGTCAGATATGACTGAGCAACTGAACTGAACTGAACTGAACAGTACAGATAAACAATGAAAAAAAGAGCAGTTTTTTGTTCTGTTTTGTTTTTTTTTCTGGAGGAATTACAAGCTGTATATCTCTTATTTATTTTTTCAATATGTATTATTTAAAACAAAAAGCTATGCTCAAAAAAAAAGCAAGCATTTTACAAGAAAACTATATGATGGATAAAATTAGCTTTATCCAGTTTTATAGGCTACTATAATAATTACTCAGGTACAGGGTAATCCTTACAGGACTTGGAAATTGTAGTGATTTTACTTCAATCAAGGTTAAGTAGAAAGCGAACAATTTTTAGAATAGAGTGTGTTAGAGAAAAGCTTTTTATATTAAGAAATGTCTTTGGATATACTTTTTATGGAGTAAGGGTTGAATCACTGCTGAGATTAGTTCTGGAATTTGGATGAACAGCACAGAAGTCCACAGTAAAACTCTTTAAATGACACTCATTTGGAATTGAAACATCACTTGCCTAGTGCTTTGTGAAAACAGTTCTTTTATAATTCTGAACCTTGAACTGAGTGATCTATGATTCTACCTTATTGACCTGAGCCTCTTGTGAATCATAATTTGTCTTTGCCTCTTTTCTTCCTGACAGCTTTGGAGATACTCTTACACAGCAACATATCACATCTACGACCTTACAAACGGGTAAAATGTCATGTCTTTTTATTAACACAACTTCAATCTCATATAGAGCCTCCAGACTCTAATTTGAGATTGACTGTGTTATCTTATTTCTAATCTTAGTTTCTTACATTTTTATAATATACATATACCCATGCAACTTAAGAAATTCAAAGAAATACTTCCTTGGAATATTCACCTGTTTTTATTTGACTGATATCTTACATTTTTATACAAAACATAGTTTTTATACAGAACATAGTTTTGCTTTTCCTACTTTTGAACACCTAATTATAAATTTCTAATTTATGAAAGTAAACATATCTGTAAAGGTACCAAAAATGCATGGGAATGATACACAGTGTTGGGGAGAGGGGCTCCTTCAATGGAAGGAAGCAGAAGGGTGGGAAATGTAGCATTTAATCTAAATTTAATTAATATTATGCTAATTGTTTTTAAATGTAAAGTGTTAATATTTTTAATTTAGATGACTAAGTTATCATCTATATATTATTTTCTGTATCTCTGTGTTTAATTTTTTGAAATATTTACAGCTTAAAAAAAATTAAAAGAATGAGTAGGTAGGCAGAGGACTGAGGGAGAGAATTTCTGACAGAAGCAACAACATGAAAGACCTAAAAAGGAAGGGAGAGCACAGAGTGTTCAGGAAATTCAAAGTAGGTCAGTTGAGTTGAAATTGGAGGAGGGCATGCTTACTAATAGGAGGTGGTGTAAGGTTGGGAAGGAATTGAGGCCAGAAATCACGTGCCAAATAATAATAAGGAAACTATTAAGAAGAGTTTAGTTCTCATCCTGATGACAATAGGGAATCACTGAATGGTTTTAAATGGGAAATGACATGATCAGATTTGCACTTAAGAAAAATCACTCTAAATATGGACAATGAATTGGTTTAGTTACTCATCTTAATGTGATATCCTATTTGCTGTTATATAAAAAGGAAGATAATTATATGGCTTGAAAAGGTATTAAAAATCTTACAGTCTACTTCCCCTTTTGTCCAGTAAAAGCACAAAAATTTAAAGACAACTATATTTCTACTTTTTAAAAATTCTTTCTACTTCTTTCAGAAAAGAATAACTCTGAGCTTCTTAAACTGTCAAGTTAAGAAACAGGATCTGCTGTATAATGTAGACTCTAAATCCATCCAATACACTCTGAGTCTTTTCCCCTGTATCCACATTGTTACCAAAGTCAGGAAATGTTTATTGAGCAGCTCTTACGTGGGCTTCCCCAACGACTCAGTAGGTAAAGAATCTGCCTACAATGCGGGAGACAGAGGAGTCAGTCCCTGGGTGGGGAAGATCCCTGGGTAAGGAAATGGCAACCCACTCCAGTATTCTTGCCTGGAAAACCCAAGGACAGAGGAGCCTGGTGAGCTACAGTTCAAAGGGTCGTAAAGGATGAGATGCAAGTGAGCTCAAGCACAGACAGACATGTGATGGGGAGACACAAATGAGTCTGAGGTGGCAACCCTATTCTCAAAATCTTTAGACTAGGGAAGTGGAAACCTTACCCTTTCAGTAGACTTTCTCAAGGCTTTAATCATTTCCTTGTTTTTCTTTTAGTCATTTTTAAATTCTCCAAGTCTTATCTCTGTGGAGGTTCACCAAATTAAATAGCATTCCAAAAGAAGATGACAATACTAGTTTTTTAATCATGGTTTCTATAAACTTCATGGCCTAGAAACATTTTAAATATTTAGCTTTTGTGCAGTGAATTTAATCAAACCACTGTTTTGTTTGTTTTCCTGCACAACTATCTAATTTGCCAGATTGTTTTTTGGTCAGGTAAATACACCATAATTTAAGGAGTGAAGAATGACAAATTTGTTGAAATTCAAGGCAAGACTGAATATTCCAAGGCTCATTCCAAGGCTTCTATGTGCCTCTGAAAATTTTATTTAAAAAATCTACCTTAGAGAAGATGAGGATAGTTCTGGTTTCCAGCAAAGGAAGGGTAATTGAGGAGATGAAAGCCTTTGTAAAGAACCCTCCTCCATTTTCTATCATACAGTAAAACAGATAATGGCAGCTGTGGTGGCTTGCTAGCCATGAAGAGACTGTGGGCTGAGATTTCAGCTTGTCTGCATGATTGCATAGATGATTCCATGGGATATGGAAACCTAAAGCAATGTTACAGTGTCAAGGTAACACGGACACTGATTTGAGACATAGCAGTAAACTGGGGTGAATGTCTTCTCTTCTGGGACATTCTTTTTCCTCTGCCCTCCTACGTTGATCTCTTCCGAACATTCTAGTGGCCTGGTGCTCATAAAATGCCTTCTACGATCAGGTTTCCCACTGCAACACCAACATTCTCCCTCTGTGGCCATCACTTTTTCTACAATCAAAGTTGATCTGTCCAGTGCCATGTTCCCTCATTGTTTGCTAGGCGGCAATATACTTTATGTTTGCTAGGCTACATCATACTTTGTGATGTAATAAGTTAAATCAAGGTTACATGTGTTATAAGTGTTCACAAGTGTCCAAACTTTAAAATGATGGGAGAAATAGAAATAGCAAGCCTAATGTCAGGTTGGAGAGATGTTTTTGGAGGGGGCAAACAAGGAGTCTTCCTTCAGGTGCCTCACATTATGCCTTGGAGGCAGGTCTTGTTTTGCATCTCCACACAAGCAGTCTTGATGAAACTATTCATTTCATCTTCAAGAAGATAACAGTCAAAATTTAAACAAGACATGCTATGACTCTTTAACACGTATAAAAGTCTGAACACATTCTTGCTGAAGAACTACAAAATCTCCACGGTGCAAGTCAGTCAACTGAGTATTTGCAGGGCAACTTGAAGCATCAAAGTGAGATTTTTGGCCAATAGTATATTTGAAATTGGGCTTCCCAGGTGGCGCTAGTGGGAAAGAACCCGCCTGCCAATGCAGGAGACATAAGAGATGCGGGTTTGATCCTTGGGTTGAGAATATCCCCTGAAGAACAGCATGGAAACCCACTCCAGTATTCTTGCCTGGAGAATCCCATGGACAGATGGAGGCTGGCAGGCCACAGTCCATAGGGTCACAAAGAATCAGACATGACTCAAGCGACTTAGCACACAAGCATGCATATTTGAAATTTCCCCACGGGTGGAGGACTTTCAAGCTTAAGGCATACTGCCCAGTATATGATCTGTTTTTCAGTTTAGCTTGAGATCAGATGTTCCTTTCCTTTTCTGATTTCAAGTCAGATCCCGGGGGAGATTGTCAAATGGCATCTTATTTTCAAAAATTTGAAATGCATATGCGTTCACAGGGATGGGGGTTGTGAATGAAAATGTGGAAGAGTACATATTAAACTTTAGCACAATTATAGAATTTCAGAGCTGGAAGTATCTTTAGCGACCATTTCAGCCTGGTGTGTACAAATTTTACAGTTCTGAGGGTTAAGAGACTTGAGTTTAATGAGGGGTCTGCCAAGAACTAGCAATATTATTTTTTAGAAGTCCTATCATTACTCTAATCTGAAGTTTATTTGCACAAGACTAGGGACATTCAATTAGATAATTTCTAGAGGTATTTCCACTTAGTCTGTAAACATTTAATCCATTCACCTCAGTATGAAAGGTCAGAAAATTGAGATCCAGAGACATTAAATGACCTGTGAACTAGTGAAGACCTGCAACTACCACCCCATGACTTCTGTCTCATGTTATATCACATTCTTTCTATTAGATTTGCAGAAGCACAGATGATGATGCATTATTTTTATTTTTTTATTTTTATACCTATTATTTGCCCTGAACTGCAAAGTTCATTTATTTGTTTATTTTCTTTCTTTCTTTTCTTCTAGGGAGTTTATAAGAAGAAATGAGCTTCCTCGTCCAATTCAGTATTTATGCTGGTCGCCTGTTGGGAGTAAATTAGTAAGTGTTTAAATTATAGAAGTGTTTAATCATTTAAATAAAAGAGGAGCCATTTGATTTTGGCCTTTGTTAAATTTCCCTGCCTGAAAAAAAATACATTTATGACTATTTTAAGTGGTTAAAAATGGGAAGAGTTTAGATAAATTGAAACCCATCTGAGAATTCCGCAAAATCTCAAGCTCATGGATAGACTTCTTTAAATATCGCAGTCAAAAACTTTATCCTCATACTCAGCCAGAATGCGTTGTGCCAGAAAGCTCAGGAAAAATATGGTTTTCACAAGTTTCCCAGACTAGCTTCAGACAACATGAAATTTTGTCCAAGCTCTTATTTAAGGACTCTAAATAAAGATTAGATCTGGCTAGCTATTAATATTCAGAGATTTATTTGACTTTCTGTTAATATACACAATTATTTACTTAGGTAATAAAAGCAACTAATATAATAGCAAACTTTATTCTTTATTTAATATATAGACTTTAAAATCATAACTTTTATATGTTAAAAATCACAATGTTAATGTGAGTTGATTGGTATTTTTTGACCTGTTAAAATGGTATCTTAGTTGTGAGTTTTTTCATATCTGGATTATCACTCTTTTTTAAAAGTATTAGGTGAATAATTAACATAAATATGCAAACTTTATTGTGTTTCTTATGAAATTTCTCCTTATTAACTAACTTACCACCACTTCTAGGCATATGTCTATCAAAACAATATCTATCTGAAGCAAAGACCAGAAGACCCACCTTTTCAAATAACATATAATGGAAAAGAAAATAAAATATTTAATGGAATCCCAGACTGGGTTTATGAAGGTACGTTGTATTCTTTTTCTTCTGCTGCTGTTAGGCTTTTAATTGAAAATAATCACACGCATTTAGTAACATTTAGATGAGTGGTATGTTACTGTGATGAGGGTGGCATTTCTGAAAGCTGTTATCAGGTTATGAACAGGACGTGCATATTCTGAAAGAACAAAATCTTGTTATCAGACTGGTGGAATTTATTTTCATGAGCATTATAAAGCAGTAGCAATAATTTATATTCTAAGAAGTATACGGTCCTTAGATGCTGTGTGAGTATACTTTCTCAGGTTTATTTTTTTCTTGCAAAATAAACCTTTTATCCAAAACTAAACAGCTGTCTATATTATTGTGCAGGAAAATACTCTTAGCTCTTAATGCTGTCATTAATTTTGTCCTCTTAGCTCATGTAGGATCCAGGACTTAACTGGACTTTAAAAGTTCTTCTAGTCCTTGCCTTTTTAAAAAATATATGTATATAACTAAATTAACCATTTTTTTTTAATTCCCAGAACAGAAAGTTAACTTTCAAATTTATGTTGCTCTGTAGTATAAGCATGGTTTTCCTTATCTTGGCTACTTTAGAGGACTGTAAAGAAGCTCCCCCCAATGGAAAAATTAATTATTGTTGAGATTTTATTTTAAAAAATACATTCCTGATTAATGTCAATTCCCCAGTAGATTAATTGATGTTTCATATGGGATATAAGGTTAAACTACTCCTTTATACCCAGATTATTCATCTTTTGGTAACCAAAGCATGGTATATACCACATCCACATTAAAGAAATTATTTCAGTTAATAAATGGCTATGTACAATGTATTTTGAAGTATTTACAATTATTTTGAGTAAGCTGTCTTAGTAACTAATAATAATATGCTAGTATTTGTTTTTCAGAGGAAATGCTTGCTACAAAATATGCTCTCTGGTGGTCTCCTAATGGAAAATTTTTGGCGTATGCAGAATTTAATGACACAGAGATACCAGTTATTGCCTATTCCTATTATGGTGATGAACAATATCCTAGAACAATAAATATTCCATACCCAAAGGTATGTGGGATACTTTTAGCAGATACTTCCATTTCCCTGCTGTCAAAATGAGCAACCAATACCGTGAATAGAGGTGGAATCAACAAGTTTGGAGAGCTGCTTATCCTTGTGCATTGTAAGGCAAACATTGTACTGTGCTCTATTATTTATGTGGACATCTGTTGCTTTGGACATCTGGTTGTGCTGGATGAAGTAGTCTTTGCAAAATCCATTGCAGTCTTTGAAAAACATATGGTCTAGATCATGGAGGAAAAACAAGCTTAACTTAATTTTAATTTTTTTCTTACTTCATGCTCCAAATTCAGGGTAAAGTTCTGTTTTGCAATTCCTTTTGAATTCTGATCTAAATGCAAACTAGAATGGGAAATTAAGACTTTGAATGTGATGTTCCTGTCAGGTCAAAGCAAGTAGGAGTTATGGTCTTTTTTGGACATTTATGGTAGTTTAAGTTTATGAGCCTAGGTTCTTCTTTGAGGGAATTAGACATGCTGTGAACCAATGTTTCTTACATAAAAATTCTAAAATTCTTAGCTTATGTACTTCACATGCAGTCTCATGTCTCAAGAGAGGCCTCCTGAAAATAAGAGGCCTCATGAAAATAGATTCCACCAGAATGGCCATGTCACAGTGGAGAAATGTCATATTCTGAGTTAATTTAGAAAAGAATTCTGAAAGATCAAATCACAAATTCTCCTCTGGCACGAGGAGTAGAAGTGATTTCAGAATGTAATTCTTTGTTGTTAAGTCACTATTGTTTTTCCTTGCCAAAGGGAACCCTGTTATAGAGGTCCCTATATGTGACAAAGATGGGCAGGACACGCATAGACACAAGTGGATTCTGAAGCAAATCAAAGTGGCCATAGTGAGAGAATAGAAATTCCAAATAGTCTAAAATTTATATTAAAAATCATATGAGAAAAGGAAATGAGTATGGGGGAGGGTGTCTGTTTAGGTAGAAGATCCTTCAAAGGTTGTATATTAAGTCCGGAAGCTGGAGGTATTTGGAAGTGAGAGGTGTGATCCTTGGAACCCAAAAGATGGAAAAGAAGTTGGATATTTAGAAGGTTGTATGGAGCAGGAAGAGATGAAGAAACCCGGAAGTGAAGAGTAACTCACACTGACAGAGAAGTCAGGACCCAAATTCTCCTGTTTCTTTGAAGCTGAAGCTGCTGAACATCTGACACTGGACTGAGAAGTGAGGCAACTATATATATAGCTTATATGCCTAATTTTTGTGGATTTAAATTATTTGACAATTTTAAGATTCTCTTTTTCTGTGCTAAAATAACAGAACTCTAAGAAGATATGTGAGCATGAACTACACTGTCATGTAAACCTAGGGCATATACTAAGGCAAAAAGCACAAAGCAAGAACAGTGTAAATCACATGACATTTTATTTTGAGGTGGAATTTTCCTAATTTGGGGGCATTGAAAGCAGTAATAATTTAAGCAGCTAGCAGACTGTTTGGTAATTGTCCTAGATCAAATTACAAGGTAAAAGCAAAAAGTATCTTTCATTATTTATTCTTTATACTCCCTTCCCCACATCAAGCTCCCTCTGCACTCCCCTTGGCACATGGAGAAATATTATTACAATTATCCTAATAACAATAATAATAGTGCAAACTATCTGCCTTAAAAGTCAGAGAAGAGAGTATCGATTATGGAACTGCATTTTTTAATCCCTAATAGTCTTCTCTATGAATTAAAGCTCCCATTAATCACTAAGAGTATGTATTTTCACTCTGGTTGCATAATATTTGTAATTACACTGCAATGAAATTTGTAAACATTATAATTAGGATGTTTTCAACAGTAATATATCTAACAATTATTAACTTATAAAACTATGCCTAAATTCCAAAAGTGTCTCTAAAATGTTGGTGATAATGAGAATTTTGTGAGTTTATCTATCTCCATTTTCTTCACAGGCTGGAGCTAAGAATCCCGTTGTTCGGATCTTTATCATTGATGCCACTTACCCTGAGCATGTAGGTCCCAGAGAAGTGCCAGTACCAGCAATGATAGCCTCAAGGTATATTCATCTCTGATGCTCCCCACCTTTCAAACTGAATTTTAGCACTGAAATTTCTTCATCAGGGTTTACATTTCTTTTCTAGCGAGTTTGCAATGACTATGCTACAACAAAAATAAATAAATAAATAAATTAGTATTCCAAGGTAAATACATAGCAAAATTAAAATTCACAAATAAGTTTTTTAAATTGAGGTGAACATACTAACCCTTTTCACACATATAAAGATGACCAGAGTACTCAGTCTAAATGCTGCTTCCCTTGAATGTGTGAGTGTAAGCTAAGGACAAACAGGAGATAGTAAAATTCAGGCATGCTCTCAACCTGGCTTCTTTCAAGTTTGGCCTACTTTTCCCCAGCATTTGCAGATCATGCTTATTATATGTGCATGGCAAACAGGAGAAGATAAGCCAACCCCCTCCAAATATTAGTGTTTTTCACTAGGATGCAGTCTATTTGAATTGATCTGGTTGTAGCATTACCTGTTTGTGGATGAACTGTAGGCAGACCTGGACAGAAGCATTTTCATTTCTGTGAAAGGTACCAGCATGGTGCCCGTTGAGATCTTGTCTGATTAATCCTGGTCATTCTGGTTGGTATGGAGAAAGGGGAGGGGTCCATAAGCCCTGCCTGGCTGGCCTCCTTATTCCTTCCCACATCCCCTCAGAACAAGGCTTGACTCCTCTTCTCCTGCCTCAGGAAGGAAGGTCAGCCAGGGCCAGATGATTGATTAATAGGAAAAACACCTCATTAGAGGCCTCTGCCGGACTTTACCAAGGTGAATCTGCTCTTGGATAATCAAAAATTCTTTTTTATATTTTTCAATTACCCATTATTCCCCACCCTAATCTAGTTGATGAAAACTGGACTAAATATATCTGCATTTTTTATGTATCATTCTCTTCAAGAGGCAATGCAGAATGAAAGAAAGCATCATTTGAGCATCTGTAATACACTAACAATACAGTAATAATATCTAACATTTTTTGAGCACTCACTCTGTTGTATGTATAGTTTGTAAGCACTTTAAGCATTCTTAGTAAATCTTTACAGCAACCTTTCATAATAGTAATGTTATTATTCCCATATTATATAGAAACAGAGGCACAGATATGTTAGTTAAGGTAGTATAACTAGTAGGAGATAAAGCCAGACTCTGAACCAGAGATCCCTTGTAGCTCTGATTCCTTTTACAACAAGGTCCAACATTTTGTGGTTCATTTACGTTGTTGTTCTCTACACATTCAACCTCAGAGCCAAGTAATCATTGCTTCTTTTCACTGATATCCACTTTGTGCCAAGCACTGTTTGAGTTACTTTGCATACACTATCTCTCATTATTATACTAACCCAAATTTCAACCCTGACCTGCAGCTAAAACTCAGCTTCCAACACAAACCTGCCTGGAAAGAAAGATGGTCTTTTACCCACTTAACTCTCTTTTAATTAGTTAAAAAGTGAAAACTTGAGTTCAGCTATGGAAAAATAGGCAATTTAATGCTTTTTGTCCTCTAGGTTGGCCAGTAACTTTGGCCTTGTGTCTTAATTTTTTTCCTAAGATTAAAATCCCAACTGGGGAGAAAACTCAATTATAAAATAATTCTATTAGATCAGTGAACTCTTGTATATTCTCTAAAAGTCAGCAGGTATATTCACATTTTTTAATGTTTAAAAGAATATTTTGCCTTCCTTACCTGTAGCTTAAGTGTTTCAGAATAATAAAATATGTCCTTTAGAAAACACAAATTAAGAAATTATTTGAATGTGATATTGATTTATAGTTGTGACTTTCTGATTTGATTTGTTTGCAGTGATTATTATTTCAGTTGGCTCACATGGGTTACTGATGATCGAATATGTTTGCAGTGGCTAAAAAGAATCCAAAATGTTTCAGTCTTGTCTACATGTGATTTCAGGGAAGACTGGCAGACATGGAACTGTCCAAAGGTATGTTGTATTAAAACCACAGAGGTGTATTTCTGAAGATAAAAGTACGAGAGTGGGGACTTATCTATAGCTAACAGATATGTGTATACATACATATATATAGAATTACTGCATTTAACTCCTGATTGCTTTGCAAAAAACACTATTTGAAGTTTCATTATTTTTATTAAACAAGTAAGATAACTTTTGTTTTCTCGAATGACTTTAACATTGAAACTGAATAGAGAAAAAGATTAAATGACAATGCCATGCTGGGAAAATCAGGTATCTGGTTTTAAATTAGGATGGAAGTCCATCCTTTTGAGATTATAAAATTGTCAGTCCAAAAAAACAAAATAATGATGATGAAAACATAAGATGGATCCGTTAAAGAAGTAGATATGTTCTACTCAAAGGAATTCGAGAAAAATGCAAACATTCTATTCAATGTCAAAATTGAAAAATAAGAATTCCAAAGTAAACAAATATTATCAAAGGAAAACCAAACGCTTCTATTTGAAAATCAAAAGTAGGTAACTGAGAATGATATGAAACAGATTCAATTATCCTGCTATCCTGTTATCTTTGCAGAGTGCTCAATACTGTGCTAATTTTAGGGAGAAAAAAACTTAAAAAACTAGGCACAGATTTATTGTTGAGTTTTAATTGTTTTTATTGCTCAAATCCAAACATAATCTGTTGAATTAATGAGTCAGAAAGCTACTTCTCCAATCAGAAAGCTTCAAAATAGGCCTGTTCATAAGTACTCATATTAGAGACTAAGAAACACAAAGTGTTTTCTTTAAATAGGAAATTTGATGGGTACATTTCATGAGACATCTAATTATGAAGAAATGTTTCATTAAACCAAATATAGAATAAACCTATTTTATAAAGTAAGAAAAAAAGCACAGAGCAATCAAAGTTAAACACTAAATTCCATCTAGAAATTAGGACATTATGTTTTGCAAGAAAAAAGTCATATGAATCTGTTTGGAAATATATCAGGACTATAATAGTCAACATTACTCAGACTAAAAATATTTTTAAATCACTACTGTGTCTGTAAGAAGCTTGACTAATTTTGATGGAATATGCTAGAAGTTTATTTTTATCTTATTTATGTTTTGATATACAAAGCAGGAAGATTTTTGGCATTAATGCAGTGTCATAGGCAAAAAGAAAAGATAGAATAAATTTAATTTTTCTAGTTAAATAGAAACAATTGGGTGAATATATTGTTAATGTCTTCATTGAATCTCAATACTAGGAATTATTGATTTAACTATATTAGTTTATAAGACTGGTCATTTAGATAAAATTTTTAGCTTTTAAAACTAGGCATTTAAAACTATAATTGCTTTGGAATTTGAATTTCTAATTTATCAAATCTGAGACAACTTAATCCAAACTGACAGAACGTATAAGATGCTCATTCAATGAGACATGGAATTCCCTGGAATATAAGCTTTAGTTTTATGGCCAAAATCAGTGATTAAGTTTAGAATACCAGGTTTGAATAACCTTAAAATTTCAAAACAACTGCAGTTTTGAAGTAGTCTGGTAAGTACATGGAACATATTTTTCAGATTTAAGAACAACAGAGATGAATTTTCCAGTAACCATACTTATGACTGATGTGTGTGTGTGTGTTTAGTTTTGAAAACAAACAACATTTAAGGTTAAGAGACTTGGAAACACTTTATTCATGTTGGGAGTCATACCCAAAATAAAGAAGCAAAGGAAACTGGCAATAATTACTTGTAATATAACTATATTAATAAATTTGTAGTTTGGAGGAGGAACATCCTTCATAATGTTATTCTCTGCAAGAGAATTAAAATTAATTTTATCTTAATAGCTAGAAATGATGAATAAAAACATTTCACTCTATTAAGTCTTATCTTGTTTTTTCTGAAACACTGGCCTATCCCTATAAGAGAAAATCCAAACTATGCTTTTAAAATTCATTATTCCTTTGCTTTTTATGACTATATACTCTCTCATGTTTCTCTTTCTAGTTTACTGTTTCTTTCTAGCTCTTCCTCTTCTGACTTTTCTAGAAGTCTTATTATTCTTCAAGTTAATGCATTTGCAAGATAGGCTATCTGCTGTAACAATAACAACAGTAAAACCTTTCCAAAAGTTCAGCGGGTTAATACAGTAGGCTTGCACATTCATGTAACAATCTAATAGTGAGTCCGGGTACGTGGGAAACAGTGAGGGTGAGGGATGGGTGCTTTGCTTCACAGGGTCATTCGGGAACCCAGGTTGATGACATTTCTACTGTCTTCATCCAGTAACTTCTAAGGATACTCCAAGGTTATTCAAACCTGGTCATCAACATCCAGCTAGGGAGTGAAAATAGAATGGAGGATATGTGTGAAAGGCTCTTATAGGTTTGATATAGAAGTAGCCCAAGTTACTTTTGCTCAAAAGCTATGGGTTAGAACTTACACATGACCACATCCAGGTGGATGGGGGCCTGGGAAATGTAGCCTACCTCAAGTCCTAGCAAAACCAGGAAATAAATGATTGCTACTTATCCTAGTCTCTATCCCAACACTGTGTTACTCTCCTAGGTGATTTTTATCTAATACAGGAAAGTTTCAATTACCACTTGCCCCACAAATTCATTCTGGGGGTTTGAACTTTTATGTATCTCTGGCTACATCTGCTCTACTCCACCATCACTACCACTACCTAGATAGGTCTTCAGCACCTTTTTTCCAAACTTTACAATGTCGTTATTTAGTCACTAAGTCATGTCTGACTTTTTTTGCGATTCCAAAGACTGTAACCCGCCAGGCTCATCTGTCCATAGGATTCTCCAGGCAAGAACACTGGAGCACCAGGGTTGCCATTTCCTTCTCCAGGGGATCTTACTGACCCAGGAATCAAATCTACATCTCCTGCATTGCAGGCAGATTTTTTACTGCTGAGCCTCCAGGGAAGCCTCCCACTATGTTACCCACTTCTTATCTATTCTCTGTATCATGTTCACAATTATATTTTTCAAATTGTGATTTGAAAACTTTCAAAGGATTTATCATCCACAGGAGAAATCCAAATTTCCTAGTTGTGGCATAAAACTTTCTCCAAGATTTTGCTGATGCCCCTACATTCTCCCTTATCTTCTAATTCTTTCCCACAGTCAGCCCCCACTCAGCCATACTGAGCCACCTGTGGTTTTCTTAGCTAGCCTCATCTCTATGCTATTTATTCCATCTAGAATATTTATCATTTAACTGTTTATAAAATTTATTTATTTTTAGGCTTGTTATTTGTTCAATAAAGGATTTATTGTACTATCCTCAAGTACATACCAAAAATAAGATTCAGTGCAAAGTTTAAGATTTCTAGCTAGTTTATAAGATTGAGAAAAGAAAAAAAAAATTAACCTAAACTCCACTGGGAAATGCCTTTTTACCTACAAGACAAGAGTTTAGTTTGTGGTAGGTCTCCACAGATATTTTCTTAATTCCAGTCACTGACTTATGGAAAATTTAACCAGAATTATGAATGATTTGCAATAAGATGCAGCACTCAGATCATCCTTATGTATACAATAGTGATGTTGTATAACATCTTGAATATAGTCATCTTCAACTCAAGTGTGTAGTTGGTTGATTAACAGTAGTTCACTCTGACCAGGCAGCTTAAGTTGTTCAAATGTCCAGATTATATTTAGGAAAAACTGTCCTCTTAATACTATGTTTCATTTGATCTTTTTTTTTCTCTCTTAGACTCAGGAGCATATAGAAGAAAGCAGAACTGGATGGGCTGGTGGAGTATGATTGCTATCTTTTCCTTATCTTTTAATGAAATTCTCAGCTATTAAAGGACTATTTGAAATGTATCCAAACTGGCATTTTATAGAAAAATAACAAGGTAAAAAACACAAAGGTAGTGATCCCTTCAGCAATTTTGTGACAGACAATTTTAATGTCCATATCTAGAATTCTATTGAGAATAAATCATATACCTCATGTCTGTTCTTAACTTTTTCAACCAACTCTTTGATATGTATAATTAATATTGCTTCTTTAAAAATGTAATAAATATCATTTTTCAAAAGGGAACGCAATCCCTGAATTGCTTAAAATAATCTTGATAACTTTTAGCCATTTGAATCCAGGGAAAATAATTACATTTGGTATCCTTGATTTAGAGACAACCTTACTTCTCAATATATTTTGTATAAATAAATGAGTAGATTAATTTCATACATACCCATTCTTATTCTAGTTTTTAAGTAAAGTGGTATCAGTTAGGGGAGTGTATGTGTTGTATGTGTATATGTTTGTAATCATATATATCTGTATTATTTTGGATAGATTTGTTCAGTGATTCATAAGGATTTTTGTGTAAAACTAAATCGTGTTTTAGGAAAACATCAACTGTATCTTATATCTCACATGAAGAATACAAACTAAGACAAATAATAAACGAATATTGTATGAATGCTACCACTTATCACAAATATGTGGTTAAATTCAACTAACATTTGCGTACAAAAAAGAAAAGCTACTTCTGAGATTTGGACACATGCAAAGAAAAAAGGAACCCTTAACTAGTTTAATACATTAACCCAAGACAAGGGACAATAAAGAAGTCAGAAGTAAATTCTGGGATGATAAGTCTTGTAAAATTTAAATTAAGATGGAGAGTGAAGTAAACATCTTCAGGTATTGAAAATTATTTTCTGTATACTCTCCTGGATCCAGCAATTTTAGCTTACATATATTTACTTTCTATCTTCAGTTAAAGGTACTTCAGCTTTATTCATTAACTAGAGAATTTTGTTGTGTTAGTCGCTCAGTCTTGTCCGACTCATTCAACCCCATGGACTGTAGCCCACCAGGCTCCTCTGTCCATGGACTTCTCCAGGCAAGAATACTGGAGTGGAGACATTTCCTTCTCCAGGGGATCCTCCTGACTCAGGAACTGAACCCCAGTCTCCCACACTGCAGGCAGATTCTTACTGTCTGTGCCACCGGGGAAGCCCCTAACTAGAGAATAGTTATTACTTTATTTTTTTATGCAAGTAAATGTACATGGGTGCAGGCTAAGTCACTTCAGTTAAGTCCAACTCTTTGTGACCCTATGGACTGTAGCCCACCAGGCTCCTCTGCCCGTGGAACTTTACAGGCAAGAATGCTGGAGTGGGTTGCCCTGCCCTCCTCCAGGGGAGCCTTCCAACCCAGAGATCAAATCAGCATCTCTTATGTCTTCTGCATTGGCAGTCAAGTTTTTTACCACTAGTACCACCTAACAAGGTAACAAGGATAAGTGTGTAATTCAGGGGAAAAAGAAAAGAAAATCCTATTTTATTTCACAGTTTAACATTGTATAAGTAACAGGAAAAAAGGCAAGAAGTCAGTGAAAGAACAGGGTTTTCTAAATTTTTTGGATTCTAGGTCAACCAGAAGTTTGCCTTCCAGAAAGATAATTCCTAGATCAGCATTTGAAAACTTGAGAAAAGGGAAATATTTAATTTACAAGTTCACTGTCATTATAGAGATTTCCTGTAAAAAATGAGAGAAGAAAGAATACTTGAAAATGTCTTTAGTTGTGTTCTCTATGATAATGATATAGCTAGAGTTTCTATAAAGTAATATGAATGATGTGATTTTACAAATAGATAAACCATGATACCAGCAATCTTATCAAAGATGTGATCTTAGGAATCCATAAACATTTATTCTGAAAATATTGGCACCATTCAGAACACTGTGAAATACTTTAAAATACATCTTTTGAAATCTGTTTATAAGCATGTTGAGGACAATTGTATATTGGAAAATTTTATAGTCTGTATAGCACCAATCTTGTAATCCCAGCAAACAATAGCTGAATGAATGAATGAATTGCCTTCTAAAGTTTTAGAACATTGTTTTAAATACCCTCAGTGAAAGCATATACATGCCCTTTGAGGGAGAATGAGGTCTCTACATTAAACCAAACGTCATGCCAAAATAAATCTAGTGAATAAATGAAATATGTATCTGCAAAATATGATTTTACACTAGATCATTATAATATTTATAGCTTTAGAATTCTATTGGGAAAAATTAGTTTTCCTGTGTACTAATCTCAATCTCTCCAAATGTATCCAATAGTCATTAACTTTCTGAATATTAGAAGAATTGCAGAAAATTTTTTGAAGTGACAGTTTTCAAGAGTGAGTTCACACTTCCCCAAGGCAACTATTTTCAAGGGGGCCATTCATTAGATTTTATAAGTCCTGACAAACCTTTTGGAGTCATGACTTTATATAGTCATAACTCATATGTCATAATGTGCTGCATAGCTTCCTTTTACCCATAATCAAACCAGTGGCTTAATAAAATTACCCAGAAATAACCTAGAAATATTTGTCTTTTGGACATCTGTTCAAATAATATTTATGAGGGTTTTAGATAAAGTGTATAGGCTAGTCATATTAATATAAATTTAAAGAGCAATTTTAGACCAGTTTTTCCTTTAATATTTGTCAAAGAGGTTTAAAATGAAAAAGGCCTTCAGAGATCACGTATGGACTCGAAAAGAGACTAAATGGCAGTTAACCTATTAATTCAGGCNATATCTGCTCTGTATGATGTAGAATAGCTCTTTCCTCATGGAGCCCCTTCACCACATTACCATCCTTCCTCCACCCAATGACCAGGATAAAAAAGGAAGCCAACAAATGTACAGTGAGTCTCTTTTTCTAATGGAGAAACTACTAGCTAAAATCTGATGTCAGGACATTTGCAGGACTTTAATTATCTGTACTTTTCAGGATGCTGAGTTGTAGTTTGCTCTGTTCAGGACACACAAGACCCGTGGCAGAAACTCCTCAGGCCTTAAGCAGTTTGCTACAGGTGGTGAACACGGGCCCTGGGAAGAGGTCAGAGGTGAACATTGAGGTTTGGTCTGCTCCCTAAGCTCAAGGAGTACACCTTTCATTGTCTTGTCATTGGTTGCATTTTTCTCTCAAGTCCAGAAGTCCCTTTCTGCATAGCTAGCTGTTCATGATATTTTAATCTTTAAAATGCCTTTATTGCATCATCAGCATCAGGTGCTTGACATCAAACAAATCAAGAAATAAAAGAGGCTATCTGCCTTCAGAAGAGTAACATTTTGGTCAAATATAACATTTTGAAGTTTGACTTGGTTAAACATCAACATTCATTTGTGAATTTTTTTAACTATGTCAAACCACGTAATCTCAGAATACAGAAATTCAAACTAAGCACTATGAACCCAAGGATATGTAGTAGCAATTAAGCAGTAGTTGGAATGTATAAGTGTCTGTTAGAAGCTCCAGAAAAGCTGTCCATTTGAAAGGATGGGATCTAGGGTGTGAGTGCCAGAAGGTAGGGAAGGCAAGACTTTCTGGTCCTGATAATTGTAACTACACATGGCTTTTAAAAAATCAATCAGTTTAGTTTGGTTTGTCTCCTGAACATAACCTCTGTTCATTTCTTTCAGTTCTTTGTTTCAACACCAGTGTTCAGCCATGATACCATTTCATACTACAAAATATTTAGCGACAAGGATGGCTACAAACATATTCACTATATCAAAGACACTGTGGTATGTTCCTTCCAAGATTTATCTCCTGAAAGATCATTCACTTGAGGTTGCTCAAATAACGCTCAGCTTCACACAACATAATGTTTGTCTTTTTATAGGAAAATGCTATTCAAATTACAAGTGGCAAGTGGGAGGCCATAAATATATTCAGAGTAACACAGGATTCACTGTAAGTATTGCATGAAGCTTGATGTACCATTCAGGTTTTAATTGGCACTGATGGATGGATGAAATCTACAGCACCACTGCTTTTAGTTAAGAGCATTTTTATTACTTATTCTAAAGTGTAGTTCAGACAGCTGTGGTTTTATTAAAATTACACATTCTTTAATAATTAGTCAACACAATTTCCTTTTTTGGAAAGAACATTTAGTAGGTGGTTATTTCTCTTCTGATAGTTGGTATATAATTACATTAAAAGTATAAAAGTTTTAGAATAGTAACTGGTCCTAAAGACAAATTTTCCCTCTAGCACTTGAAGCAGTAAGCTAGATTCAGAAGTCCATGGGGGCAGCCCCTTGATAAGAAACATTCTTGCAGTGATTCACTGTTGTATAAGTTTGAGATTATTATCTGTAATAGCTATTATTTATTAAGTGATTGCGGTGTACCACATAATATAAAGTAGAAATGATAATCCCAGTTTTACAGATGAGAAAGCTGATACTTGGAAATTTAATTAACTTGGGCAAGGCTACATAGTTAGTAGTAGAACTAGGATTTAAACCTAAAATATATTAAATCTAAGATTTTTATTATTCACCTCAACATGGGGCTTCTTTCTTCTAGGTCTTTCCTTTTCAGTCCATCCTGTGTACTATCTAAATAAACTATCTTAAAATAAGCATTTTTGATTAAACATCTCTACTCAAGAATGTGTAGTATTTTTTCCCCCTTTACTTCTAATAAAGTCCAAATCTAGGGCACTCTCTTGTAACTACCCTGCCATTAGCTTGAATTCTAAGAGCAAGAGAGGAAGATAATTAGTCCAGCTTCACAGGATGAAATTTTTTTAGAAACCTATTGCCAATCCATGGAATTCTTTGAACTGTCAGCAAAGGAGTTTAGCCGTTACATGGAGCAGCCATTAAAACTGCCCATGTAAGATGAGTGACAAGATAAAACCTAATGGGAGATTTCAGGAATAATATATTTAGTAGGTAGGGGAAACTGAAGGCAGGAAGACCTTGGTATGGTCATAATCTAGGCCTGAGGTGACAGAAGCCTGAACTAGAATAGTGGCAATGAAATGCAGACTCCAAGAGAGAACTATATCTCCTTTTTTTTTTTTTAATCTTTGGAACATGAGATAGTGCCTGGAACAAAATAGTTAAATGAATGAGAGGAGGGGTAGACAGACTGTGAAGAGAGACAGAGGCTGAAAAGGTAAGTCAGTGGCTGTGAGGGAAAAGGGAAGGGAAAGAGGGAATGTGGACTCTGTTCTAAGTGTTAGAGACAAAGACAATTGTGAAACCTTTGACATAACAAAAAAAACTGTAGGAGGCAGTTTGGAAAAATCTGAGTAGTTTATTCACAGGTAGTTTGAGATGATGTGGGAAAAGCAAGTATAGTGATGTTTGGAGTCATGTGAAGTCAGTAAAGACATTTAGAAAGATGCTGGTTTTGAAGGTAAAGTTAATAGTAGGAACCAGGTGTATTCTGTTGCCTTTTCTTTTTACTGGGGGTTTTCCCAGGTGTCTCAGTGGTAAAGAATCCACCTGCCAGTGCAGAAGACACAAATTCTATCCATGGACTGGGAAAATCCCCTGGAAGAGAAAATGGCAACCCACTTCAGTATTCTCACCTAGAAAATCCCATGGACAGAGAGCCTGTAGGCTACAGTCCATGGAGTCCCAAAGATTCAGACACAATGAATATGCACACTGGTGCCTTTTACTGGGAATAACAAGGTCATTATTTCAGTGAGGATATACAAGTACTTGGGTGAATTAAAAGTTCTGAGAATTAAAAATAAGAAACCAAACCTAAAACTTTTAACACTTTATTGTGCTCTTCCTAAAAATTAAATGTCGGTTATTTTGTTATATTCAGATGAACTCACAGAGGAGAAAATCATGCCCATTAAATTAGATTTCCCACTTTGTTAAGACAGGTTAGAACTGGGACCAAGACACTTAAGTAACAAACATGCTCTCTTGTGACCTGTTTCGCTTGTGGGTAAATTAGCCTGCCCCTTTGTGTGGTATCCTTGGGTAAATGAATTTCCTGATTTATAAAAAAGTGATCTACTGTCAGTGCTTCTGTAAAATAAATTCTAAATGTGTTCAAAATCATAGACAAAATTAAATAGTATAGCACAAAGAAATCAGTAAACTGTTAATTATGGAAAGGAAAGCAGTGGTATTAATCAAACATCCTAGTTTAACCAAAAAAGAGTACTCAACATAATTTAATATTTCTCCTATAATTTATAAATATATTTGTGCAAATATATTTTATATATGTATAAGTCAGAATATGTACATAAAATGCAGAAGTATGAACAGCAGCAATTTGTGTATATAAGTGCCAATTAGTTGCTTCATTCCATTAAAGTTGGACTATATTGTTTACTATATTAATACTATATTAACAATTCTATCACCATTTAGCCATCAATAATTATCTGATAACTTCTGAATATATTTTCAGGTTTTATTCTAGCAATGAATTTGAAGGCTATCCTGGAAGAAGAAATATCTATAGGTAATTTATGTCAATTCATTCTAATATTTTTATATATTGAAATTTGAATAAAAATAAATCAGAGTCCTCAGAATACATAAAATATTTTTTAAAGGCTGAAATGTAATAGAATTAATTTATGAATTAAAATATTCAGAGAATGTGTATATCACTATAAGAATATATGCCCCCAACATACCAACTAACCAAATGTTTTCAAAAAGAAAAATTAAGAAATTTTAATACTGATATAAACATGGCATTAAACATTTTAACTAAATTTAGAGGTAATTGAGAAAATTCATTTAACACACATTTATCAAGTTACTACTGTATACCATGCATTGTGTTTATTCCTGTAATGTGTGATTTCTTTTAACATGACTTGCTTTGAGACTATTATGATTAGAAGGAATTCATCTCTGTTCATATATTAGTGTTTTAGTTTATGGCCCCCTTGGTGATTGGAATGGTGCCCTTAACAGTCCCTTCTGGATGTGGAAGTGAAAACAATAGCTTCCATGGGTTAGTGGTCTGCTATAGGCCTTGCACATTTTTATCTGCTTTATATATGTAATTTCATTTAATCACAGCAACAACTCTATGCAGTCAGTGATGCTGGGCCAGGATTTATACCTGGGCATGCTGAACTTGACCCCTTATTGTTAACTGCCTACCTAATGTTTTCCAAGATCACACCAAGATATAAATGTGAATACTACTAACAGCACTGAGAAAATAAATTTTTCCTTCTGCTGCATTCCTCCGTTCCCTCCTGGATCATAGCTTTTCACATGTTGAGAAGAATCCCCCTGTGATGATAGCAATGACTCTGATCACCCTCTGCTATGCTTAAGGCAAAGTCAGGGCCAGCAGTAGAAGGAACACTGCAGTGGCCACAGGTGAACTCACCAGCCACATCAGGACTCCGCCTCTGGTTGCATCCTGGCATAAAACCACCTGGGCCTCCCCAAACGAGACTCTGAGGGTTTGGGGTAAGGTCTGGGAAGTTGTATGTTAAAGTCAATTGCCCAGAGAGTTGGCCCAGCGTGGTAGGTACAGGTTGGCTTGTGTAGGGCCATTTGGAGGGGGCATTTCCGAGAAGAGCTTCCAGGAACCCAGGTTTCCTGCCAAATAAAATGAAAGGCATGAGATCTACCGAGAACCATGTTTGTTTGGCTTTTTTCCCAAATGGCTTATTACTAATTTCCCCTTCTAGATATATGATAAGGACAAGAGACCCCTTTTTTGGTGATACTGTCAAATCTTTATTGTCTGTTTTGCCATGGGAGCACACATTATAGGAAGTAATTGAGAAAATTCATGTAATACACATTCATTAAGTTAGTACTGTATACCAGGCATTGTGTTTATTCCTATAATGTGTGATTCCTTTTAACATGACTTGCTTTGAGCAGATGGGAGAGAGATGGTACATGGGACATGAAAGAACTATGCCTTCTCAACCGCTTTGTAAAGTAAGAGATCGATAGCTATGAGAAGTGACTACCTCGCTCCCATTTGAGGTGCTAGATATTTCTCCCACCGCCAGAAAACCGCCGAGGGCTTCTCCCTCAACGTCTGTGCCTATTCAGGCAAAGATGGATTGAAGATCAGATAAATCAAAATACTGTGATTCTCCCTTACTTTAAATGATATTGGCAACAGAAAAATAGTGAGCTTGATGTTAATATGTAAATCAGTCATTTTGCACGGAGTAGTACATTTTGATAAATACAATCTCAAAATTTCAGCTTTTAGTTTTATTTTCATTTCCCTCTAGAATTAGCATTGGAAGCCATTCTCCAAGCAAGAAGTGCATTACTTGCCATCTAAGGAAAAAAAGGTGCCAATATTACACAGCAAGTTTCAGCGACTATGCCAAGTACTACGCACTCGTCTGCTATGGTAGGTAACGGACCTAACACACGCTCTACCCTTCTCTGCCACTTTCCTTGTCCTTGTCATCATTATCTGATCAATCCTTAGCTACAGGTTATTGAGCACCTGTTATATGTGAGGACCTTATCTGCCTTATCTTATCTAATGCTTACGGGAAAAAAATGTAAGAAGGATAGGAAGGTATTATTATCTCCATTTTTTGCAGTTGAGGAAACAGACCTTTTGTAAAAGGTTCACACTGCTGGTAAGCATCAGAGCCAGATGGAGTAAAAGTTCCTTGGCTATAAATCCCAACCTTATACCCACCATGTGCCACAGCACCATGACGTTGTATTGTGAGAGCAATATCATAAAAAGAGGCATCCTCTGATAAAATGGTTCCTGGACTTCAGCCCCATTTGCTTGGAGAAATGACAATCTCCTATAGTCAGGGAAAGAAATGTAGGCTCTTTGTCTTGGAGGCCAGCAGTTCTTTGAACTATAGCTTCTGTGAGTATGGAAAATAAGCTTTTGTCACCTAGTATATCCTTTCTAAATTTGGGAAACACGATACATAATTCATTCAAGTGTTGAAAAAAACACAACTCATAAAATATACTAGATGTTTCCTGGTTGTTTAGGTTATATGTCATTTAACAAATAATTTCTATCCAGATTATTTTATTTTATGCATAACCTGTCATCTGTATCTTGAACACATAGCAAAGTTGGGTTAGGCAACCAGGAAATCATTGAGATATGTTAGGTCCTTGCTAGTCATTATGGGGATTTTGGAAAACTGATCTGAAACATACCTGCCCCTCCATTCTCTGTTCTGACACCCCTCCCCCACCACTATTAATCCCTGAGTTTCCCTGCAGTTGAGGGTGGACAGAAAACAAAAGGGAGTTGTTACAAAACATATGCCATTCTTCTGTTTCTGGTGTCAACTGCCTATATTCAGGTGGGCAGCTCAGAACATAAACAGAATCTCTGACTGATTTCGATCCCTGCTCAGTGGAGAGGACCCTGAGGTTTCCTTTACTTGCCAAAAGAAAGGTTACCCTGACACGCCACTTCTTCAGCCCAATCATCTGGGCCCAGAACCTCACCCCAGCTCTTTGACTATGTGAAAATGAGTAAGCATTTTAATTCGAATGCCCCCTTTAAGGTGGCACAAGATACCACTTTAATATAACACTTTCACAAAAGGTTTGGTCTGTGGCATCTCTGTAAAGTCAAAAGATTGTTGTTCATGACCCTATGTGCTGATTGTGGTTACAGCACTTCAAGGTATATGTTAAATGTCCCTCTCAATTTATGTGCAACATTTTTCATCCCAAACTACGTATTCGTGCAGCATATATTGAAGCTTACATGCCAGGCACAGGGTATCATTGAAATAACTGTCCTGAATCATCTGGTTGTCTATTTTCTCTCCTGGAGGCAGAATAAACTTTCCTTTCATCTTTATATTCATAAGGCCAAAAAAGAATGGTTAGAGCATGATAGACATAGAATGTTTGTGGAATGAACATAGGTAACTAGGGAAGATCAAAATATTGCTGCCTTTTGCAAAGCGTACCCCAAACCTCATTTTTATGCTGATATTTGTTGTTGTTGTTGTTGTTCAGTTGCTAAGTTGTGTCTATTTCTATGCAACCCATGGACTACAGCACACCAGGCTCCTCTGTCCATGGGTTTTCCCAGACAAGAATACTAGAGTGGGTTGCCAATTCCTCCTTCATGTGATCTTCCCGACCCAGGGATCGAACCTGCATCTCCTGCATTGACAGACAGATTCTTTATTTCTGAGCCACCAGGGAAGCCCTTTATGCTGATACATTTACTGATAAAGACATCAGTGACCCTACTCATACAAACACATTTATAGTTTTTGCATTCTGTATTTGTACAGTGCTTTAATGCTTTTTGAAAGCACTATACCACTTTTTAGTGTCTTCCTAAGATCTGCTTGAGCCTAAGTGCCCCCTGAAGAGTAAGGAATCAATACTAATCTCTCATGAAAAGTTGGTGAAAGACTCCTTTCTGGAACTTGAATCGCCTGACTTTTCCACACTCACTCTTCCTCGGCAGTATGGTAATTTCCCATTTAGCAAAAAATATACTGTGTGGGAAGCATCACATCGTCTGGTGTTTTTGAAGCTCCAGTAAAATGAGTCACTGCACCATCATAGGAAAAACCTTGAAATCTTCCCCTTTAGGACTAAGAGTAAAGCTTCATTATGTAACTTCAAACTCTCTGAGAGAGATGGTGAGTAAATCCCAGATAATAGGATTGAAGTAGGTAAGATCATATTGATGATGCTGCTGGAACAAAAGCAGTGCAAAGAATACTTCTGCCACTAGGATCACACCCTCAGGCCACTTGTGTCAAGGGCAATCAGTCATTAGTTTGTCTCATAGTTTGGGCAAAAGATATATGCTAGTTATCCCTACTGGAACTGCACACCTAGGAACATCCCATAAGGTGGGTGCTGTTTAACTAAAGTTTAGAAATTCAGATTCATGTCTCATTGCCGTACATGCTATATGCATACATGTATGCCTTACATACAATATGTATTTGTACCTTTTCATAATGTTGAAAAAAATCTAATCAAAATGAAAATCTCTGAAATTAAATTTTATAAAATTTAGACTCCACACAATAAGTACTGCTGGTTTTTGAGGGAGCCTAATAAATGATATCTTTTCTCCTCGCTCTCAGGTCAGATTGAGGAGTCAGGCAGGAAATCAAACCATTAGCTTCATTGCCTATAGAGGTTACCAGGAAAATGGGACTAAGACCCCAGAATCACAATTACTCATACAAATATGGGTGCAACTAGACAGCCTCCGGCTTCGCCCATGGGGCCTGCCACTTTTAACACTTATAGCACACTGAGAGCCAAGTCAGAATCATGTTCTCTGAAGGCCGAAAGATGTCAGGAACAAGGCAGAAGAAGGAACTACTCATATTCAGGGTTTCTAATAACTTTACAAACATATTTCCAGGTATTATTTATTCTATATTTCAAGTAAATAATAGTTTTTTTTTAATATTTACAGATACTTTTAAAATGACCAATTTTTGGACTTCCCTGGTGGTCCAGTGACTGGGACTCCATGCTTCCACCTTACTGCAGGAGAGCAAAAATTAGATCCCTGTTGGGGAATTAAGATTAAAAAAATAAAGGCCAATTTCTGCACAGTGAACCCGAATTCCATGTCGAAATATATGGTGGACACTGGTTTGCCACTCAGACCTCCTACCTTCAGGACTGGGTCCTCATTTCTCCAGCCGCTGAGAGCGCTGGTGGTTAAAAGCTTACAGCTGGGCCCCCTGCACCCAAGCCAGAGATCGCTCTTCTCTCAGGCCAAAATCAAGAATCACTCCATTCTGGGAGATAAAAGGCTAACTAGTTGGCTCCATTCAAGACAGCTCTGAAGGCCAGCCAGCTCCAGAGCTCCCAGTGAGGTTGGCTGAGGTCTCTGTTGTGGCTGCACCCCGCCCCACTTTCCCGGAGGCCCCCACCTTTTTTCTCTTTCCCCACATTAGCTGGGATCCTAAAACAGCACCCCAGACGAGCTTTTGGTGCACAAAACTGTTTCTAGGGAATATGTCCTGTCACAGCATATTGAACAGGAAATATTTTCTGTATAATTTGTTTCTGCCTATAGCGAGTAAACTCTGGGAGTTAGTGATGGACAGGGAGGCCTGGTGTGCTGTGATTCGTGGGGTTGCAAAGAGAGACTGAACTGAACTGAACTGAACTGATAGCAATTAAGTGAAAGAAAAAAAGTTGCTGAGTTCTACCTACCAAAATAAACTGAACATTGAACTAAGATGCAAGATTGAAAATATAATCTGAGTATTGGTGAAGTTAAAGACACAGCTAAAACTGGCCCATACAGCATATCTTCCCAGAAGGCCATTTATCACTGCAGCTTCTGGGGCCCATTCGTGTCATTAGATACTGACTATTTAGGATCATTCTTGGAAATATATACAGGCAACTCTTCTGTTATATCTTTTCTTTGACTGGGCTCTGGTCTCGTGTATTGTTTGAATGTAACTTAAAAGGGGATGTTTACTTCTTTATGGGAGAAAAAAAGTAGTTGTATAAGTAAAAGAGGTGATTGAGCTTGACAGCAATCATAAATATGACTAGCAATTCTTATTGAAAGCTAAATGTTATTTTAAAACTAAGCCATGTTTTTGTTTTCATCCTATGCACAGGCCCAGGCCTCCCCATTTCCACCCTTCATGATGGCCGCACCGACCAAGGTACTGTCTCCACATGCTGCTGTCTTAAGAAATCCTGGACTCTCGTGTCACTAGAGGAAGCAAGACAGCTTCCCCACACCAGCAAGGGGAACAGTGACATATAGATTATTGCATAGCTTATGATTATATTGATCAACCTATTCTTTGTCAAGCCTGATCATATGAAAGTTAATTATTATTTGCAGTAAGAACCTGGCATAAAGCAGATGAGTTATATAAGACAAATTAATCCTGTCTTCCCCAATCACCCTTATAAAAACACAGAAGCTTAAAATTGGAAGGAAACTGAAGATTTTTAGTACACTCTCCCTCCGGAATAAGAAGGCCTTTTTTTTTTTTTTTTTTTTAAAACATCCCGAACTGGAGATGAGTTCCGGATATAACTCCAGTTCAAAGCAGAGGGTGACTATCATGCTAGCTTTTTTATTTTAACAGCTACATCACACTGTTGCCACGTATGAGAGCCCTGAAATTTGGAGGCTCTTTCCATTTTCAACTGCTATTAAGGCAGATCTCCTCCATCCTGTATTCGTGATATTGGTTCAAAAATAGTTCACAGCTCAAAGATGACCATTTTTACTCTCGAGGGAGATACCCAAGTGTATAATTGCCCTGAGACTCTTCCTGCGGTTCTCTGTTACCTTTTGATTTACTATGAAACGTTGTGGGGTTGAAGTTGATGGAATCTAAGGACCAAAAGTGACTTTAGCACTCAAGCCTGTGATTGTCCTTGGACAGCTCTGGTGACAAGTTAGGAGACTGACTGCTTTGGAATTAGTTTGGCTGCCAGCTCAATGGCCTACGTACAGGTGAAAATAAGGCAATGGGGAAAATCAGAGTCCATTCAGGAGCTCAAGACAGGACAAGCATTGTAATAATGAAACTGCGAATTTAGTTTCATTTTGAAGTTTTGGGGGTTTTTGTTGTTTTTTTAACCTTGTGTCTAATAATGAAATACTTTAAAGAATAACAGATTGTATGTCTGAGTTTGGCTCATTTCAACCTTCAGTGAGAGAAATTTTAAAGCAGGACTAGTTTCAAATCTGTAAGTCTTTGTTTTAATGGAAATCACCATAAATGTGTAATTCTCATTTGTTCTCAAAAGAGAACACAATCTCTGATTTGCATAAAATAATCTTGATAACTTTTAGCCATTTGAATCAGGGGAAAATAATTGCATGACTGCAAAATAAAGGTCAGTTTCTCTTTTTTAACAAATTTCCACTTTCTTCCTATCCTTCTCATATTCCTGCTAGATACCAGTTTTTGTACTGCTTACAAAACTTTATCACTTCACTCAGTACTTACAAAATAGGTACAATCTTCATGTGTCTATATATGTTATATGTATTTACATGCTTTTAACTCTCAAAACCAATGAAAATTCTTTTATAGTGCAGTTCTGCAAACTTGCCCCATGATGAAATTATCCAGAGAAGTTTATTATAAATACAGGTTCTCAGGCCCTCCTCCAAAATTCCACTTTAATAAGTCTTATATTGGGCTAGGGAATCTATATTTTTAATCTATTACCAGATAAGCTTTGGAGTAGCTTTTCAGAGCAGATGCTATGGCTTCTATTTATTTAGTTTCTCTTTGCATTTGGTGCCAAAAATTTTCATTCAGTACATATTTATTAAGCACCTATTACATTAAACCAGGCACTTTGCTAGAAAATACATCCTAAAAATGAACAGATATTGCATTAGAGATGGTACTGTTCTCAGGAGATTATAGGTCAGTGGGGAATGCAAACTTGTAAACAGACAGTTACAACACAGTGGGATAAAGTATTAAGATAGGGAAAATAGAGATTCATGAAAGCATATTAGCAGGGCTCCTCCTCTGGAATAGTGGGTTAAGAAATGTTTCCTAATGATGACTACGTCAACCTTAAGACTCATAAATATAAGGGAGAGATTGATGCTGTTTGGATGTCTAACTTGGTCAAATGGATTCATACTGATGCTTTTTATTGAAAGATGGGACCCACAGTGGAGAGAACATTTTTGGAGAGGTGATGAATTTTGTTTTGAATATTTAGTTTGAGGTACTGATGACATATATCCAAGAAGAGCTGTCCTGGAGGGACACACTTTTGGACCTGGATGTTGGAGGATTAGTTTGAGTTGAAGATAATCATCAGGAAGTTATTCATTTATGGAATACACGGTTACTAAGTTTGTGGAAATGGGTGAGAGAGCAGTGTGGGGAACGTGAGGGTGGGCAAGGGTAGTAAAGAATGAGCCTAGAGTAAAATTGTGCAGAACACCAACATGAGAAATGGAAAGAGAAAATGAACCTGTAAAGGAGACCAAGGGCGGACAGAAGGAGAAGGACACCCTTGAGAGTATGGACTCATGGCACGCAGGGGAGGAGAGGATCTCAAGAAAAGGGAGTGCTGCTTGTCTGTGTCAAGCACTTCAGAGTAAAACAAGACCTTCCCTAAATCAATGAGCTTAGCAAAGCAAGGATGAGCATTAGCTTAGTCAGAACAGTTTCAGTGGAGCGGTGAAGGCAGAAGCAAGGCTGAAGTAAATTTAGGTTTGTATAGGAGGTAAGTAAATAAAAAGAGACTGTTTTCAATAGGTTTGACTGATGAGTGGAGGAAAGAGGTGGATAATCCTGGAAGAGATTGATAGAGGTTTAAATTAGCTTTTGAAAGCTGATAAACATTTGAGAATGGTTGAAACTGATGGAAGAAATGTGGAGACCATGGTTGAAGACATAAAGGTGGACTCTGGGTAAAGTGGAGTCCAGAGACAGGTGAGGAAATTAATCTCTGGCCTTTGATGAGAGAGAATGAGGGCATTTTTGATGTATTTCTATGAAAGTTTGTAGAAAACAGGGCTTCCCTGATAGTTCAGTGGGTAAAGAATCCACCTGCAATGTTTTGTAGAAAACAGTGCAATGGCTATATTTTCTCTGCAAAGTGGAGAAAAGTCATTGGACAATAACAGATAGCACTTGACCCAGATGCTATAAAAATGTAGAAGAGTTGACACTTGACATGGAGGACCCATTTGAGGCTTAAGTACTTCAGACACAGCAGATTTTCATTAAAATTGATCAGCTGATTAAATAGCTTTATTTATCAGGTTTCCTGAAGAGTCTTCACATAATTTAATCAATGAATAATATATCATAGTTAATATGATTTGAACAAATAAATAAGATGTGATCTATCATTCTTACACCTTGATTTCATCATAATGGAGAGTCTCCAAACATATAGAGAGCACAATGACATGTCATGTACTTGGTACTGAGCATGCTGGGCATCGAGTGTACTATGATGAGTAAAAGAAGGTAAAAGGTAGAGTCTGGGCTGCAGCAATCCTTGCCATATTGTACACTTCTAAGGCAAAGCCACATAGGGAAGTCCAATTGCAACCCCTCCCTCTCTTCACAGCCCTATGAAATTCTATTTTGCCCCAAGAGGTAGGAAAATTGCTCATTTACTCTCCATAAAGATGCAACTCTGGACTGTAGAAGTATTAATAAGCTTTTCTATTCAACTTGTCATTTCAGTAGGTCCTTATCTGGGAACAGACTAGAGAAGGAATCAAGGTCAACCCAATCAGGCAACATCCGTGTATTGTCTCAGACTTCCAGCATCTGTTGGCAAAATGATAAACATGGTCAAGTAAATATTACAGCCACTCTGTGTGCTTGCTCCACATAGATTCCCTTTATCCTTGACAGTTCCGCAGTCAGAACCCATACACAGAGAATGAAGGACTGGCTTCATTGTACTTAGAACTGAGTATTCATTTAACTTATTTTTTTTAGTTTTGAGTATTTAATTGAAATATAGTTAATCTACAATGCTGTGTTAGTTTCAGGTGTATACCAAAGTGATTCAGTTATGCATGCATGCTAAGTCACTTCAGTTGTGCCCAACTCTTTTCGACCTCATGGATTGTAGCCTGCCAGGTTCCTCTGTGCATGGGATTCTCCAGGCAAGAGTACTGGAGTGGGTTGCCATTTTCTCCTCCAGGGGATCTTCCCAACCCAAGGATCAAACCCACAACCTCTTACATCACCTGCATTGGCAAGAGCATTCTTTACCCCTAGCACCACCTGAAAAGTCCTTAAAGTGAAAGTCAAAGTCAAAGTCGCTCAGTTTTGTCTGAGTCTTTGTGACCCCAAGGACTGTAGCCCACCAGGATTCTCTGTCCATGGAATTCTCCAGGCAAGTATACTGGAGTAGAGGCCCATTCCCTTCTCCAGGGATCTTCCGGACCCAGGGATCAAATTTAGGTGTCCCTCATTGCAGGCAGATTCTTTACCTTCTGAGTCAGCAGGGAAGTTCATTTATATATATATATATATATATATATATACATATATATACATATATGTATATATGTGTGTGTGTGTGTGTGTGTGTGTGTGTGTGTGTATAGTCTCTTTCCAGAGAAGGCAATAGCACCCCACTCCAGTGCTTTTGCCTGGGAAATCCCATGGATGGAGGAGCCTGGTAGGCTGCAGTCCATGGGGTCGCTAAGAGTCAGACACGACTGAGCAACTTCCCTTTCACTTTTCACTTTTACACATTGGAGAAGGAAATGGCAACCCACTCCAGTGTTCTTGCCTGGAGAATCCCAGGGGTGGGGTCGCACAGAGTCAGACACGACTGAAGTGACTTAGCAGTAGCATAGTCTCTTTCAGATTCTTTTTCATTATAGGGTGTTACAAGATACTGAATGTATTGATCCCTGTTCTATACAGAAGGTCCTTGTTGCTTATCTATTTATACACAGTAGTACATATATGTAAATCCCAACCTCCTAATTTATCTCTCCCCATCTCCTGTTATTCCCTTTTTTCGTTTTAACTTTTAAATTGCCACAACTATCTCTTTCCTGATGGATTATCCAAAGTTAAAATGAAACGTATTATGTATCTTATACAACTCATACCAAAACATCTATCCTTGTTCTAAGATTAAATGTAACACGTTGAAGCAAAATGCCATGAGTACATGAAAACTGAGAGTTACAAGAGAAGTGGTTTGGCAAACTTAGTGTAGTTACAAGTACTCCCCCAGCTCCCCATCTTCAAGGACCACTTTTTTAAAAAAGCACGAAAACAAGGAGTCCACAGGCCTCCTGTATTTCAGAAGTCATCCAGACACTCTTTTTAAAAATAAAGCTACAAACGTCACTTATTATTCAAAAACCTAACTTTTCTCGGGAGATCAATGGATTTGTTCAGTTAAACAGCAGTTTTTTAGGAGATCTTTTCCAGGTGCCCTCTTTGAGAGTTCTCTTTAGGAGTCTTGGGTTGGCTCTGATGTTAAAGAATCTGCCTGCAATGCAGGAGAACCAGGTTCAATCCCTGGGTTGGGAAGGTCCTTTGGAGAAGGAAATGTGAGCCCACTATAGTATTCTTGCCTGCAGAATTCCATGGGCAGAGGAGCCTGGAGTGCTACAATCCATGGGGTCACAAAGAGTCAGACATGACTGAGTGACTAACACTTTATGATGAAAGACAAAGATCATAGTGTGTATATATGGTTGTCCTACTAAGATATATAACTACCTTGAAAGAAAGCATTTGAAGGAATTGAATGCACAGTAATTCAATTACAAAAAAAAAAAAAAGAATATCCTATATTAAGCAAGTACAGCAGGAAGAGTTTAAGAAAGAAATAGTTGTGAAAAAAATCACAGAGTTAATATTTGATCTTGTGCACTGAAGATTTTAAAACAAACTTTATAGCTATATACTTAATTGCTTTAAATATGAAGTATCAGCAATATAGATTTTATTTCTACCACTTTTGTTTTAGTATATATTTTTTTTCAAAATGCTACTTACTCAGGGCACTTATTAAAAAAAAGTTGGACACAGGAAAATGTGGCTGAATAAGCATTGTTACTTCTGTGATTCTGCTCAAAATGCGTTTTGATGCCATCAGGGTCAATTTAGGAGACAATGATTGATGTCTCTTACAAGCTCATCCCTGCTGTAAGCCTGTATTAAAAGTCTGCTTGTCAATATGAAAATCCTTAAGCAATCCATATACCATTTCAGTTTCATCCATAGTAAACCCAAAGACATTTTAAGAAAGAAATTTTTTTATAGAACTTCTATTAATTAAAAATGAACTTTTTTTTTTTAAGAAATTAAAATCCTGGAAGACAACAAGGAATTGGAAAATGCTTTGAAAAATATTCAGCTGCCTAAAGAAGAAATTAAGAAACTTAAAGTGGATAATATTAGTAAGATCTTTAAAAACTTCTCATGAGTAAATATGAAGCTGAGCACTTATCTTGCTTTTTAAAAACAAAATTGTAGGGTAAATATTATAGTACAACCCTATAATATTATGGGATCTTAATTTTAAAATCTTACTGTAGCAATAAGGTTTTATGAAATATCTCTCATATGTTTGTGAATAAGGTTGATATTTTTTCTATAGCTCCATTTCAACACTGATTTTTTTAAAGTTTATCTAATTTTAATTTTAGAATGTGTGCTTCTAGAAAAACAATAGTTTGATATTTCTAGTAACTTGTAAATTAGACAAACTACATAATAAAAATAAAGAAAAGCACAGTCTTAATTCTTCACAATTTACTAATTATAAGTTGATTTTATGTTATATATTATTATTAAAGAAAATAAATAATGCTGAGTATTGTGGAATGAAGATTTTTCTCTGTTTTTGTTTTTCAAGCATTGTGGTACAAGATGATTCTTCCTCCTCAGTTTGACAAATCAAAGAAGTATCCCTTGCTAATTCAAGTGTATGTAATATTTTCTTTGGTTTAAAAACTATTTATTGAAAGTATGCTGTATTAAATACACATTTGTGAGATAGAATGAACCATTCTCCTCAGTAACAGTTCCTATTGATGCTGTTTTTATATGTTCCCCAACTAATCAGAGTAAATAAAATATGGCTATTTAAAATAGCTTGAGAAGTTTTGAGATTTTTAGATGGACTTGCTTGCATTTGCTGTTTTGAATTTCCTTTGTGTGGCAAATTGCCTAATGTGTCAGAATACCTTTGAGATAGAGAAACTGCAGCCAAAAAAATATTGTAAATCATCTTCACGTCTTATGTAATTGAGTTAGAAATGAAATAAGGGAATGGAATACATTTTGTGGAATCACACCCCAAATCAGTGCTGACCTACACACAATTTGCTTAAAACACCATGCATTTTTTTTAGTATATCTTATGCCTGCTTTTAGCAAGTGGCAGGTGGCAGAAATGACGAAAAACCCACACATATTCCTTGAAATGCCAACCCTAGATGTATCCGTTTTGGGGAATAGGAGGGGCTGTGTCCCAGAACAACTTCCTTGTAGCAAACCTCTGGGAAAAGCCTGGTCCTCTCTTGATTCTGAGCCAGTTCTAATGCCACTGTTATTGAAATTTTATCATACAAATGTACTGGGAAATACTAAAGGCAACTCTTGGCCCTGATGGGAAGTTGAGTTTCACGAAAACATCAGAGATTCTCTTTCTTTTCTCCCTTTAGGTATGGAGGTCCCTGCAGTCAGAGTGTAAGGTCTATATTCTCTATTAGCTGGATATCTTATCTTGCAAGTAAGGAAGGGATAGTCATTGCCTTGGTGGATGGTCGAGGAACAGCTTTCCAAGGTGACAAACTCCTGTATGCAGTGTATCGAAAGCTGGGTGTTTATGAAGTCGAGGACCAGATCACAGCTGTAAGGTGAGCGCTTTCTCATTCAAGCAGAAACTGATGTCAGCAAAAGTTATGCAATAACTTCTGGGTTTCTCATCCTTCATGCCTTAATTCTTTTTGTCTATTTTCCTAACGTCATCTAAAGCTGTCATTAATCATCAAGGGATATTTTTACCCAATATGAGAAAAAAATTATTCACGGAAAAGAGTAGAAAAATAATTTGTAGTGAAAGATAATTAATACTCTCTTTCCATGTTTTAGGCATTCTAATAGCCTTTCATTAACATGGCTCACAATTAACAGAAAAATTTGTATAACTCTAGGAATGGTCTGTAGAAAATCAGACATCTGAGTGCTCCAGCTTTGTGGATTCTACCTCATAAATTCAGAAATGGCTCAAGATTTCATCAGCACTATGTACTTACAGATATCAGACATTCATTTGTAATTGAACAATCATATTAGCAAGAAAGTGTTTTCCTACTTTCATTTGACAAAAAAAATATTTTATGTAATAGAAATTACATTATGAAAACATTTAGAGGCAATATAGATTTATAGTCTGACTTCTTCCCAACTACATTCTCAACCACAATTTATGGCTCAATCATTTCTTCCTGAAACAAAAAGAAAAGAGTTACCAAAATTGTCCCTAATTTGGAAGCACTGTGCAGGATTAATCTGGATATTTCTTATAGTTTTCAGGTTTCTGTTATTATGGTATGAGTAGGTGACATTAGAGAATAGTAGTTTGTAAATGTAAAAACTAACACAGCCTGATTGCACTCTTAGTCATGGATATACGTGCATGCATGACAGCTAAAGGTCAAACAATGCTTCACAGAAAAGAGCAATTTAGAAAATTAATTAATATGTTTCTTTTATCATCTTAATATCACTAATGGTTATTGATTTCAGTGTAGCATGCATAGCACAGACTGTATTTAACAAATAGGAGCCAGGTCCAGACAACACTTTTCTGTATATTTTTGTCTCTAATCAAAGCAGAAGAGTTTAGACTCACAAGTGATTTTTTTTTAAAATAGAAAAGTAATCATATGCTTTTAAATTTTCATTCTGTGAACACTAATTACACACACACACAAAACAGTCAATTAAAAGCAAAGTTATTTGGATAAAATCTAACAAACTAATAAGTAAGTTATTAAATAATGCTACACAATATGTAGGCATTATTCACACTTAACTTCTAGGAGGCTCCGTCTTTCCTACTCACCCAGATTTTTGGCCTTTCCACTATTTCAACTTTTTTGAGAGATACTTCCGTGTGACAGAGAGTCATAGGAAAGGTAATTCAAAGAAAAATTCCAAGATAAAATGTCTCATATAAGACTATGGTATGCCTTAAGAATATTAACACAGCTGTCAGCGTTATAGACATAATTCTTTTTCGGCTGTGTGTCACACTTGTTTGTATTAAACCATACAATAAAACACCAGGGACATGTAATTCTGGGACAATATCAAAGGACAGAGATGTAAACTGTGGTTTATAATTCAACTTTCCAAAGTTGGTAGAGCTAAAAAGTGATTTGTTTGGTGTTGATTAAAAACAATCATTACCATCATACATCATTATATGTCTGTGCATTTATTTATCACCAAAAATGTGGCATTCAAATTTAAGAGGAATACCTCAAGAAACAGAAGAGATAGAACAGATAACTTCTTAATGTTTTTCTTTGGATGAATTGAAAATTTAAACCTGATATCCATGCATTGACCTTAACATAAATTGTTATTTCTGTTCAACACATAGAACAGGAAGCCACAAATTCTACTGATTTTTCACAATAACATAAATGACACTTAGAACTGAAATGAAGATGGACCAGAGGCTGTAACTGGCTACCTTTACCTCCTCTGAGCCATTTTTGGATGGAACCTGAAGAAAGTTTTTGTACTGTAGATCAGACATATGTTCACTCATTGACTCAGCCATTCAAGAGCAGGTGAAGTAGCGTATGCAATTACAATACTCTGTATAAAATCATGCAATTTACAATCTCAACTTTCAGTGCACTTACAGTTTCTGAAGAGTGAATAAACCACATACACTCAACAGACAGCATGGTTGTTAGATGGAACTTTCTGTATTTACCTCAGTGAACAGGGGTGTCTGTGAGGTCCATGCAAAGTGCATGTACAGCAGCGGAGATGCCAGCTGGGGTTGGCCTTTGCCTTGCTTGAAGCCATTATTCTGCAAAAGTACAAGGGAGGCCTTGAAACCCAATGTTTTGAGAAGACAAAAGCTAGAGGATAGATTTATAGTGATAATTCTGGAAAGAATTCAATCACATATTTTCCAGAGAAATGTCTTAGGAATCAGACCCTGAATGTCTGACCTGAGGATTTGGGATCGTATCCCGCTATGGTAGTCCTCCAACTCTTGTTGCTGTCGTTGAGTCGCTAAACTGTGTCTGACTCTGCAGTCCCGCAGACCATAGTCCACCAGGCTTCTCTCTCCATGGTCCTCAAATTACCTCTTCCTGCAAAAAAAAAGAAAGAAAGAATGAAATTTGTTTCCTTGAATCTCTTAAGAAATGCAATCAGGCTAAATTTTTTACATACCAAAAAAATCATATGTACATACGTACAAATATGTACATATTTGAAAATACTAGTAAATACTAGTCAAGGTTGAGAAATAAATTCAATGAAGCAAAGCAGGCAAAAAATGTCCTACAGCTGCACAAATTTTGAATGCCCCAAAGGAAATATGTTTGAGGTCAAAACTTAGGTAAAACTGAGACCTACGTTCTTCAGGCTCCTTTGCAAGTGGCACACATGTAAGTCCCTTAAAGTTTCAGTAGTTATAGGGTCAAATCTGCTCATTTGGGGTAAGTTCGGCACTTTAGACATTCCCACAGTTTTGAAACTTTATATAACTTCAGGGATACTGGTAAGAAAGAATTATATGAGAAACAATATACTGTTACACATGATATCAATAAAAACATTTCCAAAATAGAATAATAATCAATCAAGAGGGTTCAAACTGATCTTTAGTCTAGGGTTATTTTTAAGAGAGAAAATTTGTAAAGTCCAGACCAGTCTCCAAAATTAGAAAAGCATGCTTTTTCCCCTGTTATTAACATTTTGTTGATTTAACTACATTATTGGCAGTATTTCTGATAACCCTCCTGAAAGCTCTTCAGAATTTTGGAGGTAAATTTTATAAAGCCTGGTTGGTCTCAAAGTGCTCAGATTATCTAGCTAACCTTTAACCTAGTCCTGCCACATTAAGTGTTAATGTTTCATTTCCATGTTAACTATTGCGCTATCATTTCCTGTAAATGTCATCCTTTTGGAATAAACCTAGGAAGGGAGCTGTTAAGAATTTCCTGTTCCCATGTATCACCTGTTATTTGCTTTTACCCCAGATGCAAGGCAATATGATTGCTAGCTTCTGGGAGATCATAAAATCATGATTGATTTTATGGCTTCGAACTGGCTTCAAGCACTAGCAGCAAGATTGCTTTGTTTGGGTTTTTTGGGGGTTTTTTTGACAAAGAAATTGAACCTTCTTTTCTTTCATTTGGCTTTTGAAGTTTGTGGGCGAATTGCCAAAATACCACAGTTGACAGCCCGTTTTCTCTACCTACTGTGAACAAGCATCCACACAGGTAGCAACTCTCCGTTTGCTACCGCATTTCTCCCCTGAAGACGCCTCAGTGTCCTTCAGAATTAGTGTCGAGTAAGCTGTGACTGACGGGGCTTCTTCCCATCTGTTTGTCCCGGGCATCTGCCCAACTCCTCTGTGCAGCAGAAACGTGCATTTTGAATCCATGCAACGAGCAAAATGGTTGCTGTGAAATCCCTTTAAGAAATTCCATTATTCAACTAACACAAATCACTCCATCCTAGTTCCAGAGAACGAGGAAGGACATTAATGTCACTTAAGGCAACAAAAAAAAAAAGGCGTTTTTCTGGTCATGAGTGTCACTTTGGACTCAGGCCCTTCTTTCCCTTCACTGTCCCATCCAGGCCTCTGTAGTGCCTCATTCACTTCGCTTTTTTCTTCCACTGCTTCTGTTTCTTTGAGAGTTTCTTCCATCAAAACATTCCCTAAATAAATCACAATGACTCTCGAACACCAGCCCTCAGGTAAGCATGGAGTAAATTAGCCCAGGACACTCTTGCTTTGTACCAGCAATGCACTTAGATTTCTGAGGGTTTCCCAGGACTTTCTGAAGGTCACCATTAAGTGTGGCCCTTTGCTCCTAAGGAGAGATTTGTCTTCAAACTTGATTTCAAATGGAGGCTCTTTTGTGATGGAGCTTGAATGAATCATGTTCATATTCTAAAAGATACATATAGTTGTCCAAACCATGATAAACAGAGGGTATCTAAATATGAAGTGAGAGAGGGATAGATATTTTTCCATGGACGGATGTGACCAAAAATGAGACAGTGATTATAATGTGTGCGTGTGACTAAGTCGCTTCAGTCATGTCCATCTCTTTGCTTCCCTATGGACTGTAGCCTGCCAGGCTTCTCTGTTCATGGGATGCTCCAGGCAAGAATATTAGAGTGGGTTGCCCTGCCCTTCTCAAATTATAATGCATGTCAACTTAAATAAAAGGTTAAAATGAGGCAAACTCAAAATTGTTTAAAAAATGAGTTTATTCAGGTATAGCAGAGGAATTGCAGTTCTGGACTCACAAACTATAGCAAGTTATAGGGCAGTTCATTGAGGGTTTGGGATAGGCTGTATTATAGGTAGGGAATATAAAGAGGGAAGAGTTCAGTGAGAGTCTGTTAAAATCAAAAACAGAGACCAACTTTGACTACTACCTGGGCAGATAAAACCAGTCCCATCATACAAACAAAGCTCAGTTCAATGTATTTTTGAGGAACTAACCTGACTTGGGTCATTTCTTGTCCTGGTCTCTGGAAACCATAAGCAAAACTTTCCAAGGTTGATGTGAGGGCAACTCCCTATCATTAAGAAAATTTCAGTAATATCAATTTTCTGCACATCAGGCATATATGGAACTCAGTCTCTCAGTCCTGAGGGCACTGTGTGCAATTTTTCATTTATATTTTTCAGTCCCATTTTAGATTGAATTCTTTCACATTAACACATAAGCAAACAAAATCATAAGAAATTAATAAAATTTAAAACAGGAGCAACAAAACCTTTTTTTTTTTTTTCCCCAAAACCTGAAGTTTTGGAAATTTGATCCCACTCAAGATGCTATTACTTCTGCTGTTACTATGAGCCTGTCTCTCTTTTTTTTTACTTATAAATAACTTAACTACATTTAATATTAAACTCAAAAACAGGTAGCTGTAGTCTGAGAACCTGAACTAACCATTTATTTGTTCAGTGCACTAAAAAATTGTTTCCCCTTTTGGTCAATACTCATTTGCTGAATATGAGCTTCTTCATCTGAGCCCCAAGTAACTCACCAGCCAATTAGGGTAGGAGGCCTCACAGCCATGAGAGTACTACTCAATAGATGTACCATAGAGTTTAATAGCTCCTTTTATCCTTCGCAGAAAACACGATAATATTATTTTAATTATTTGTAAATGCAACCTTATTATGCATGTGTTTAAACAAAGAAAATGTAGCATTTCTATTAAATCTTTGGATTAAATATGCTTGTGTAATGAAGTAAATGTCATGTGTACACACTTAAAATTCTAAAAATTTGTTTCTTTTACTTTAGAAAATTCATAGAAATGGGTTTCATTGATGAAAAAAGAATAGCCATATGGGGCTGGGTGAGTTGTTTTATATGTTTTATGCCTGTTATTTGGTTCAGCAATCATCATTTTCTAAAGTGTTCGCTTATAAGATTTCTCATGAAATGTTAATGTTGCAACATAATTTGATCTGTCAATGGAAACAGTCAATTTGGATAATCTGGGCTTCAAAGTGGTGGCTTTAAGTGTTTGTTCCTTTCTTAAAAATCATTTTGTTTCTCCCTTATATAGAAAATTAACTCATAATTAATACTCTTTCACTTAATTTCTGCTATTAGAGTATATAGAACTGAACCATAGTCATCAGAGGTTTAATCCCCTTTGTTATTTTAGAGTTAACATATTTCTTTTATACTTCATCATTTCATTTTAATGAAAAGTTAAGATAAAGTTGAAAATTATAGGAAATTTCAAAGTATAAATTCCCTAGGACCCAGTGTATCCTAGTCATATCTTGACTATTTGATTCTTATTTTTGTAATCAGATTTTTTCCCATAACTAATGTTAATTTCTGCTAACTGGGAAGAGATAATTAATTACTAGTTATAGGTCATGGAAATCATTTCTCATGTTTGAGAAACTATACCGGTTTTCTAAATACATACTGAAAGAAAGTGGCGACATTTACCAGTCTTGGGCAATAAAGTCACTTAGAAAGTTCAGAGAACTATGAGAAAGAGTTTAGAATTGCCTATTATAAATTATGATAATCACCCTTCAAAGAAGAGTTCCTGTTTCACTTTTTGGTCTGAATTTGTACATTTGCAAGTCAATTTGCAACCATTTGTGCTTGGGTTGTTTTTCTTGGCTGTTTTCTGAGAGCGGCCTGCACAAGATGGAGGGAATGAAACCCAATATTGAAGGGAATCTGCAGGATTCCTCTCAGCTCAGTGACCAGATGAAGAGCTGTTATGAATTTGTGGAAAGTTGTTATTTCGAGCCATTTGGTCCTTCTTAAAACTATCAAATGTTAAGTATCAAAACAGAATGGAATTCAAATGGATGGAAATAAATGAAATATTTTATAGTAAAATATTTCAGATAAGACCTTTCTTACCATCCATTTTTATAAAATTTCCTAAATTAAATTCTTGAAAGATTCACATTTTGAACTGAAGACTTACATATAATCATAAACATGTCTCTCAGAGTTTCACTTTGCTTTTACTTCAGGCTTTGAAATAACCATAAAGTGAACTTTTAATTTCATTTCTAGAACATTTTAGGTTGAAGTACTTTGGTAGAGAACCACGTATGTAGATGATTTAAGAAACCCACTCATCACATGAAGAAGAGTGGGCTTTATCCATGACTCTGTAACATGTTTCTCCTCTTAGTTTTCTGTTTCTGTGATCATTATACTCTATTCATCCTTTATATGTTGGTGTTTTTCTGGATCTGGTCTTGATTCTCATTGGTCTTCACTTTCTTGGGGAAATCCACATGGTTTCAAAGACGAGGCCAACTGCCAGATGCCTGCCTTTAGTCCCCACCTCTGTCTTCTGGGTGCCACATTTCAAATGCCTACTGATCAGACAGGACTGTAAGGCCCTTGGCAATCTGATTGCAACCTAATTTTTCAGTCTCTTCTCCCTCTACTTCTCCCCACACCTTATGAATAATTTGATTTGTCTGTGCCATGAGTCAAATCACTCCTGTTCCCTGCACCTCAGTGCCCATCCTCTTCTTCCATACCCCATGTCTTCCTCTCTCCAAAATTTCTGCTTATTCTTTTAAAACCCAACTCAGATATAACCTTTGTATGCTCCAAAGCTCTTTATTACTGCTCTTATAGGAATTACCATTTATCTTGCTAGTGCATTGTTTTCTCTCACAAGAATGTAAGCTCATCAGTGGAATGGACTTTGTCTTTCAACTTTGTTTCTCAAATGCTTAGTGCAATATTGGCCATCTCACATACCTATGAGGCTGTTTAAGCTGAATTTAATCCTGTAAGTTAATGTTCCTCCAATGTGTCGTATTAGTACCATGAAATTTGGGGGCAAACGTTCTCTGGTCTAATAATTTGGTAAATTATGAAGTCTATATAATAGTGCATATAGATTCCATGGAGCACAGTAAAGAAACTTGTTAATTTTTTTTTAATACAGCATTACCAAAAAGTATTTGATTCCATGGGTACCTCTTTGAGAAGTGGTCTTGAAGTCAACAGGGAGTGAAATTGGAGTCTTAGAAAGGTATTCTTGGCTGCAGAGTGAAGAATGGCCTGATGTTGGGAGAGGGAGTGGTTCAAAGGACTGGGAGGGATGTAATATTGGCAACAAATACCAAGGGCCTGAATTTAGGAAGTGAAGAAAGGGGTAAAAATAGGTCATAGTTTTGTGTGTTCTTTTATAATGCAATAAGCAGAGACCTATGGGAAATTGGAGAAGGGAAAGAGAAAGATGTTGAGAATGACCATTTGGGTTTGTTTACCTCTTACTGTGTTCTGTAAGTATCTGTTTCCACAAAGTATTAGACACCTTGCTAAACGGAGAAATACACTAAAGCTGACTACACAATTTTTTCTTTGGCCAGTTGGTCAGTAAGTTACAAATCTTCCATTTCCCTCCATTATCCAGATTAAGAAGGGGAGAGAAGGCATTTTCATTGTACCCTTTCATTTTTCTGGCACACAAACTAATATCTAGTAGCCTGGTTTTTAGCTACTTAATAGATATGTACTATGTATTCGGCCCTATGCTTAGGAAGGGTCTGTTATGACAGTGGTTCTGACCTGGGCAATTTTGCCACGCAGGGACATTTGGCAATGTCTGGAGACATTGTTGGTTGTCAGAACTGGGGGAGTACTATAGCATCTAGTGAGTAGAGGCCAGAGATGCTGTCAAATATCCTACAATGCACAAGACAGCATCCAACAGAAGAGAATTATCCAGCCCCCAATGTCAATAGTGCCAAGGCTGAAAAGCCTTGATTTATATGAAGAAAAGTTAAAAAGCAATTATTCTGACAATTGAAGAGCAGCAGGGGTTTTGCTAAATTATTAGAATAACAACCTCATTTATGGGCTTTGCTTTGTTAATATAGACCTAGCCAGGTGGTGTTGAATAAGCATTAGTTCGTGATTTAATCTTAGTTCCTTTCTCTTCCAGTGACTAATTATAAGCAATTTGAATTGCTATGTGTGATCAACGATGTAAAAGTAGGACAAATGCACCTTTAATGAGACTATATTAGATTCTGAACTTAAAACTTCCCAAAAAGGTTGCCCTAATGTAGGGATATAGAGGAAGTGGCTTGTTGTCAGATATCCTGCAGTTGAGTCTCAGCTCCACCACTTACTCTAAATTTATTCTGAGCCTCAGTTTCCTCATCATGAAATGCAACAATAATTTCCCCACCAAGTCACTGTGAGAGTTAGATGAGTTAATAGGAAAGTCATATATTAAACAAATATTGATTCTATTCCCAATGTGTTTCAGATCACATCATCGGTGCTAGGGGGGACATTCATTAAGAAGACAGACAAAAATCTCTATCAAGTTGGAAATGGTTGGGGAGAAAGGCAATAAGCAAGATAAATAAATAGCACAGATAGGATTGTTAAACAATGATTGGTCCAGTGGAGGAAAGCAAAACAAGAAAGGAGTAAGGAGCATCATACAAGATTGATGCAGTTTTAGATTAGAAGGACAGGTGAGACTTTTTTTTTTTTTTTTGAGTTAAGACTTGAAAAAGGAAGGAAGTTAGCCGTGCCAATTGTGGAGACAAGAAAATTCCAAGCAGAGGGTGGTGGCATTTGCAGAAGTCCTGGGGCTAGATCATGCTTAGAGAGTTCAAAGAATATTAAGAGAGCCAGTGAGCAAAGAGAGGTGGGATGGGGGAGAAAGGAGACAGAGCCTGTAGGACCACAAAGACTGTTGCTATGACCTTCGTCCTACAAATGTTAACTAGTTATTGTTACCGTCTGTAGGCAAAATAGTCCAGTCCGATTTATAGCTCCCATCAGAATACTATTCCATAAATCCCTCAAAATTCTGTGCCCTTCTAAGAAAGTTTTTAAAGATATCCTTCATTTAAACAAAATGGCAAGGCATCTAAGTGCAAAGGACAAAATTCTAGAATTCTCATGGCCAATCTGCTCCGTGGGTTCTTTTCTTACTGCATCCACCCACTCTGCCTTGGAGCCCCACCCATGGGAGAGCAGAAAAAAGTCAACTCGGGTGGTTTGTTTTTTTTTTCTCTTTATTTCTACAATAGAAACAGCTTTTCTAAGCTGCCTGAGAATTTAAAGCACACCTTCCTTTGTTGTGCTGCTGCTATACTAGTTTTGCTTTTACAAATTTCTGGAGACAATGTGTTCATGTCGAAAACATGAACATTTTATTCAGATACCACACTCTTATCTAATCAGTGAACAAATACAGATTAATATTTTTATAATTTCTAGGATTTGGGACAGAGATGTTCAGAACCCTTTTTACTAGATGCAAATGGTCTAATTTCAAATATCATTCTGTGCTATTTTGTGTTATGGGGCATACAAGAGGAAAAGCAGAACCCAGTATTATAATTTTCAGTGAACAATACTTTTCCAATAAAACCATAAACAAACAAATTTCTAAAGGACTCAGGCTTACTCTGAAAGTGAAAGTGAAGTCGCTCAGTCGTGTCCGACTCTTTGCGACCCCATGGACTGTAGCCTACCAGGTTCCTCCTTCCATGGGATTTTCCAGGCAAAAATACTGGAGTGGGTTGCCATTTTTTTCTCCAGGAGATCTTCCCGACCCAGGAATTGAACCCAGGTCTCCCACATTGTAGGCAGACACTTTACCATCTGAGCCACCAGGGAAGTTCAGGCTTATTCTGCTGCTGCTGCTGCCAAGTCACTTCAGTTGTGTCCGACTCCGACTCTGTGACCCCATCCCTGGGATTCTCCAGGCAAGAACACTGGAGTGGGTTGCCATTTCCTTCTCCCAGGCTTACTCCACATGCATTTAAATCTAAAATTAAGAATGAAGAAATCTTTCATTTCAGTAATAGTGTTGCTAACCTACTAATCCAAACAGATTATTTTTATAAGTAAAAATTTGATCCTGATGAGAATTTTCACTTATCAAAATGACTTTAAAACCCACATTTTCCTTCTGTTTTTAAAATATATTTTTCCTCTATTAAAATACGTTTTAGTTCTCCTCCAAGTATAATGAAAGGAGGCCACGGTATAATTGGAGCTGCCTCTTTTAGTCTGTGCTTTGTAGCCAAGGGTCCTCAGTAAGATTCCCTGGAGATGGAAACATAAAACTGTAAACTAGTTAGAGCATTCTTTCTCTAACAATTGAATTCAGCAAGAGGGTTTAGCTGATCCCTGCAGGCCATGTATTTCATGGATTAAGACTAGACGCCGGCCACTGACCTGCTGCCTGATTTCACCATGTCTGTCTTCTGTCTCTCCCTTACTCTCTCTTAAGACTGACATTTCTGTGGCAAAAGATGATATGAGCTCTCCTGACCTTAGGGCAGATCATTCCCAGAAGTTTGTGGTAATAACAAGGCACACCCTTCGTTAGAGAGCCATATTGTCCTCTTTTGATTTGTAGGGATGTTCCTGTGTTGGGGCAAGAATAAACACATCCTAATCTAGCACAGACATTGGTAGGGGTGAGGGTGGGAGTATGACCAGGACACTGCTTAATCCATGTGCCCGGAGGAAGCATCTCTCTCCCAACAGGTGGACAAAATTTGCCTTCTGGGGGAAGATGCAGCTTTATTATGAAGTTCTCTGTTCATTTCTTCATTTTCAGGAAAAGGTTCAAATTCCCAAGTGACACAGACACACATCCTTCTGTTATCAGGGTCACATTTCTGAGTCACCTACTGATTCCCTGGTAAAGAAAAGTGATGAGTGGTAAACCTGCTTCAGACTCTGCAATTTGTATCTCCTTTTGTGTTTGTTTTCCCATTAAGTTGAGGTAGTAGGGGCAGGAAAGATTTCTTAAGGCACCAATGGCTTTTCCTCCTTTGAGCTGCTATGCCAGAAATTCACAAAACAGAATTTGTATATACAAACTCTGGCCATCTCTTAAACTACTTAAAAGGTTCTTGTGTCCTTCTCTTGATGTTCTCATTTGAAAACAGATTAAGTATACACACAGATATAAGTTCTGCCTCACATTACCGTTGTACATTGTGGAATGTATCTTGCTTTTACATTTGGAAATGATCTTTTTTTGTGTGCACTTTTTTAGAGTAAAATTCTGCTTTTGCCATAGCAAGGTCCTGGTTGTAAAAACATAGAGGCATGGGTAAAGAAATTTTTGCAGGAAAATTGCAGTTGTATCTATCTCTTAAACTGCCCCCTCCATGTTCTGATCAGCACACCAAGTGTTTGTGATTGACTAGGATGAAATTCTTGGAACTTGCTGCCAAGAGTGCAAGATAGACATTTAATCTACCCAATCCATATTCCCCAGCTCCCATCAGCACGTATTGTGAGTAGAATCATTATACAAATATGTTGGAGAGTTTATGAGAGTGAATCTGGGACTGACTCCTAACAATGTCTCTACAGTCCTATGGAGGTTATGTTTCATCGCTGGCCCTTGCTTCAGGAACTGGTCTTTTCAAATGTGGGATAGCAGTGGCTCCGGTCTCCAGCTGGGAATATTACGGTATGGAAACATTTCATAAATGTTGCTGCAAAAACATTTAACACATAATTACTCTATATTTAAGGTTGCTAGGAAAACAAATTATGCAGTAAAATTCACCCCAGCATCACTGGGAAAAATATAATCTATAAATGAGGTTGTTTATATGATTCATTATAATCATGCTGCAACAATCAAAGAAATCTTAAGACAAGAAAGGATTCTTCCAAAACCCAATGAATGTTATTCTCTCATAGAAACCTTGTGCTCCCTGATGAACCAAATCTTTAAAAATCAGAGCTAACTCTGTGCAGACACACAGGTGCAGCCAAACTGGCTTTTAAGCAGTTCTTAGGGAAAATCAGGCCAAGCCAAGTAGTTCACCACCACACAACCAGTTTGCAGCTGCCTGTTACATTACTCCAGAAGTCAAAGAAACAAAAAATTTGTTTGAGAAGTATACCTTCCATGCGCCTATTTTTATGATTAACATCAATGCAGGATGACTATTTGGAATTAATTATAATAAACACACAAAAATTAGCTTTCATTACATCCTCTTCCCTGTGTTGAGGTGAAAGTGAGAGAATTGTGACTTGGGAATCTTTATTCAGAGGAAAAAGTGTGTTGGAGGGTGAGGAGGAATTGGGGGACATATTTCTATCCCAAATTAATTAAGAGACCAATGAGAGTACTAGAGTTGGCTGCATTTGTGATTTCTTTTAAAATGTAATGAGGTCATTCCTAGCTCAACATTTCCCCCATCAAAGAACTTTGGGTAGAAGTGAAAAAACTGAAGAGCTGTCCTTTCTATTGTTAGGTGCTCCTGTTTCCGTAATCTTCTCCTGCATCTCTTCTCCAGGCTTGTTGAGACAACTAGCAGAGCAAATGACTAGGGTGGAGCATTACAGAAAGGAAAACAAGACCTTTCCTCAGCAGCTCCCACTGGGAGATTAAGGAGCTGGCTCAGACAGTAAAGAATCTGCCTGCAATGGAGGAGATCAGAGTTTTGATACCTATATTGGGAGGACCCCCTAGAGAAGGGAATGGCTACCCACTCCAGTATTCTTGCCAGGAGAATTCCATTGACAGAGGAACCTATCAGGGATGCAAGAAATCAGACATTACTGAGAGACTAATACATTCACTATCCAGCCTGAGTTATCACGTGCAAACCTCATGCTCTTACATATTTTACAGCATCTATCTACACAGAGCGATTCATGGGCCTCCCAACAAAGGATGATAATCTCAAGCACTATAAAGTAAGCATTTTCTGTTTTATTTAGGTCATTAATTTATTTCATATGTGCTAAATAATTGTAAAGCAGTCATTCAGACTTTACACTTCTGCTGGGTCCACAAGCAAATATGATGATCTTTTGTCAGCTGTAAAACACCTTACTAGAAAGGAATTAACTCCCTTTGGATTCTACTTTTTCTTTCCTTATCCTCCTCCCCACCCCCAACCCCTACACAGCTTGAGCGGGCATCGTTTATGCCTAAGGTCTCACTCATATGTAACATATGACACATAAACTTTCAGTTTTTCAAACTAAGAATCAGATGGAAGTAATGCAAATGATGATGAAAATGTGTTGCTCTGACTCTTAAATATTTATCAACCAAAGCAATACATAATTTCAGTATTGGTGCTAAGTCCATTGCACAATGATTTAGCTAGTTTTCTATTAGAACTTGCAGCAACTAAAATGTTAATTTTTCCCCTTTTCCAGAATTCAACTGTGATGGCAAGAGCAGAATATTTCAGAAATGTAGACTATCTTCTCATCCACGGAACAGCAGATGG